ATAAATCACAGTGATAAAAAAAATAAGTTCTATTGTCCAAAGTGGATCAAAGGGAAAGCCTTTTTCAGAACAAACTGAACATATTTCACCAATCCCGTTTCTAAATTTCGCTGACCCACACTCATATCCACTCTGACCATTTAAGCATCTCAGCTGTTCCAAGTCCTGGCACCGATGGAGACTTTGTTCATCTCTGGTAGATGACAATGAAGATACTGAATGTTTAATAGAGTTTTCTTATGACACTGTGGCATTCAACCCCAGTGAGAACGGTTCCCAAGGAAAATCAGAGAGAAGGGATGAATGTCCCGTTAATTCTCCGCATCGTGAGAACCCCTTTCCTCTTGCCGTCCACTCACCCAGGGCTCAGCAGTTCAGGGAGCATCTGCAGGCACACCCAGAAGCACCTGATCCACCTGTGCCTGGCAAGAGACAGTCACCCCGGCTCCTCTTAGTTTCTCAGGCATCCTGGAGTTGAGCATAAAAACTAGGTCATGCCTCCGGTGTCTTGATATTTAACGCTGCCCTCTGACAACCAGGTGCTAATGATTGTATTCATGAACCCAGCACTTAAGTCTTGTCATGTGTCTCTCCTTTGGTTGCAAAAAGCCTTTCCCAACCTCTTGGTCATGGTAAAGTGGGTATCAATTAATTCTTCTCCCTCCTGTTTTGTTAATTAATAGAACTAGCTTCAGGTTTGCACAATCCTCTGCCTCAAGGGTATTTTTGCCCCACATTATAAAAACAGGTGTCATACTTTAATAACTCCAGTGTTGTGTTTACACTCTGTCAGAGGAGTTCAGCATTAGAGGTCCATGGTACCCAAAGGCGTCACCTTTTTGGTACCTGACCCAAGGTCTTCTAAAAGACAGCATGGGAAATTACCACCTGTTGAGGCTGACTTTTGGCTTATCTGTGCAAACGCTGATAATACCCTCTCACGTGTATTCTGTCGCATTCTGCTTTCTTTTCTTAAGCGTAAAGACTTAAAAAAGCTGGAATAATAAATCTTATTTAAAATCAAAGTCTCAAATCTGGCTACAAAATCAAAAACCCATGAAATAAAACATGGCAGTATTTCTGTTGTTAATTTTTTAAAGAAGCTTTATGTATACTCTAAATATAAATGCATAGACAACACTTGCCCTTGAGTTGCATACCCACATATATAGCATTGTACATTACAATGACAATTTGTAACTTAAGGGTACTATATATATAAGTACATATATACCTTTGTAACCTTTTTACTGTAAATAAAAATTTGCTTTTAGACTTGTATATTTTGTTCTTCTGTTTTTATGTTGAAATAGTATCAGACCAGAAGAGATTCAAAAACAGTACAAAGAATTTCCATATTTCCTTCACCAAAATTTCCCAATATGTTAACATTTTACCATGTTTGGGCATCACCCTGTCTTGTCTTTTGCTGACATCATACTTTTTTTTTTTTCAGATTTTTTTTTTTTTAATTAGAAAGTCAGATATACAGAGAGCAGGAGAGACAGGGAGATTTTCCCTCTGTTGATTCACTCCCCAAGTGACCGCAACAGCCAGTGCTGCACAGATCTGAAGCCAGGAACCAGGAACTTCTTTTAAGTCTCCCATACAGGTGCAGGGTCCTTGACTGCTTTCCCAGGTCACAAGCAGGGAGCTAGATGGGAAGTGGGGCTACCGGGATTAGAACTGGCAGCCAATGGGATCCTGGCACATGTAAAGCAAGGACTTTAGCTGCTAGGCCACGGTGCTGGGCCCCCAACATCGTGTTCTTAACCACCTTTAAATTCTCTAGTACATGCCTACAAAACACAAGAGCATCCCCTGCAATGCTCTATGCAGCCCTCAGAAAATTTGCATGGGGAGATAGCCTAGTGGTTAAATCTTTGCCTGGCATCCACTGAGATCCCATATGGGCACCGGTTCATATCCTGGCGGCTCCGCTTCCTGCACCCGCATAGGAGACCTGGAGAAAGCTCCTGGTTCCTGGCTTTGGATCAGCTCAGCTCTGGCAGTTACAGCCACTTGGAGAGCAAAACAGTGGATGGAAGATCTTTCTGTTTCTTTTTCTCTCTATAAATTTGCCTTTCCAGTGAAAAAGAAATCTTTTAAGAAATATGCATGGGGCCTACAGACCCTATGCAGATGATGCCAATTGTCTCCTTTTGACTCAGGAGCCTGTGTAGTACCCTGTGTCTTGGTTGTTGTGTGTCTTCAGTCTGGAACATTGCCCATCCTCACCATAACACTCTTGTGCCTAGGTTGGCAAGGACATGTGTCTGCAGGATGGCCCTCTAGCTGGCCCATCCTGTGCCACCACAGGACCTGCCTGAGTCCAATACCACAGAAATCCATACTCCTTGCGTTGGCCCATCCCTTCAAAGTGATGTTAATGCCGCATCAGAAGATGAAGAGCAGAACAGGTAGGACAACTCTGCTGGCCAAGATTTGCCAGCCAGTATCTGGTGAGTGGATGCACTAAGGTGGACTCTGTCAGCCAATGGGCCTTGGAAAGATTTTCTCAAACTTGCAGCAGCAGAACCAACATCTCGGAATTCTCAAAAATTCCCAAACAATACCCTCAGAACATTCTTCTCTGTATTGGGGTTTCTAAGATGACATCAAATGGACATCCCCATTCCCTGGTCTGATGTAGTTTGGTTTCTGGGAATAGCGTCTTCCTCCTCCCCCATACAGAAGAGAAGAAAAGGAAAATTGGAAACATTTACCCCAGCTGCCTATCCCCACACCTCAGTCTCCCCTGCCCTATTTAGTGGTCCTCCTGTGCCTGCATTCTTCTCAACACCATAAAAAAAGGGGGTGGGAGTGCTGGTTCAATGGCTCAATAGGCTATTTCTCCCATATGAGCGCTGGTTCGTATCCTGGCTGCTCCACTTCCCATCTAGCTCCCTGCTTATGGCCTGAGAAAGCAGTGGAGGATGGCCCAATACTTTGGGACCCTGCACCCTCATGGGAGACTCAGAAGTAGTGCCTGTCTCCCGGCTTCAGACCAACTCAGCTCTGGCTGTTGCAGTCATTTGGGGAAGTGAACCAGCCAACAGTCCAAGATCTTTGTCTCTCTCTGTAAATCTTCCTTTTCAATAAAAACAGATAAATGTTTTTAAAAATTAAATACAACCAAGTGTTTATACTGATTCTTCTAATACTTGCAGGTCATTCCCCTCCCCATCCCCGCCAAAGATTATTTATTTATTCAAAAGGCAGAGAGAGGGAGAGATTTTCCATATGCTGTTCACTCCTCACATGGGGAGCAGGAGCTTCTTCCAGGTCTCCCACACAAGTGCAGGGTCCCAAAGCTTTGGGCCGTCCTCCACTGCTTTCCCAGGCCACAGGCAGGGAGCTGGATGGGAAGTGGAGCTGCCAGGACACGAACTGGGGCCTACATGAGGTCCTGGCACTTGGCATTTTGTTTTGTCATCCCTCACAAGCTTTTATCCCCTGGACTACAGCAATAGCTTCCTATGTCCACAGCCTCTCCATTCCTGTAATCTGCCTTATATAGACAAGACTAGACCCCATGTATCTTAAAAAAAAAAAAAAACAGAAAAAGAAATCCAACTCTTAGAATAAAGCTTGAAAACTCTGCCATAGTCACCTCCCCACCGTGAGTTCGCAGCAGACCTTAACTTGCTTCTCTCTGGCTCTCTGCTTCCAGTTTTTTTGTTGTTGTTGTTGTTATTAACATTGTGTTATGTGATACAGTTTTATAAGCACTGGGGATTCCCCCCACCCCTCCCACACCCTCCTCCCTTAGTGGATTGCTCCACCTTGCTGCGTAACCGCGGTTCAAGTTCCGTTGAAATTCTTTCATTGCAAGCATATACCTAGCATAAAGTCCAGCATCTTATTGTCCAGATAAGTTCAGTGGCCTCCTGGGGAGACCTTCTGTGGTCTGAAGGTAGAGCTTCATGCTGAAACTGTGGTGTTTTGGGGACACCAAGCAACCCTAAAGATTTCCAATGTCTGTAAATCCTCCTCAGACAAATCTGCTGCTATTATTATATATTCACCCCATATGTTCCGAATGATTGTAACTCCCAATATATGCCAATTCCTTACGATACACAGTAACTGGGTGGGAACACAGAGAAATCTCTCATCTCCTTTGAAAAAGCTAGGAACCCACGTAGTGTAACCTACAGGAATTGGATAGGTATCTTAAAGTTGATAGATCCAGATCAGCATTAGACAATAGCAAAAGCTACAATGACACACAGGGGGAATTAGGAATGACCCAAACAGTCTATTAACAGGTGGTCATATGCACAGAATAGGGGAGAACCCCAGAGCGGAACAGAGGGACGGGAGGAGGCTTATCCCCCACCCACAAGGACTCCTGGACTCCCTCCAAAAGTGAATCAGAACGGACACAAGAACGTCATCACAACTGCCAAAGAGAACATGGGGATCTGGAATGCCTCCGGATGCCGTGAACCCAGAGGACAGACATCCCCCCTCTTTGGATAAACTACACGAGATGGAAGAAGCCTGAGTCCTTCCACATAAGAACTAACGACATCAGAACAACAGCCAGGGACCACGATCGATCATCAGAACCAGAAGATCAATAAACTTCTGCTTCCAGTTTTGCCCCCAGCGGCCTCCTCCTGGCCTTTGCAAGGTTCTCCACCTCACCTCTCAAACTTCCCTGACCCCCTTGCCTTAGCCAGGTGACCTTACAAGTTCTCACAGCTCGTGGAAATTCTCCCGTGGGCCTCAGCGCAATGATTACCTTCCCTCCTCTCAGACTGAAAAACCACTGCTCCCCCAAAATGCAAACACATCCTAATTGTTTGCCACGCTAACCTAGTCCGAGCTAGATCCAAGACTTCCAGCCTGCCCGGCCCCGCCCCTTGCTCCTCCTCTGCCACGCCCTCCTGACTCTGGCCACGCCCTCCTGACGCCCCTCCCCTATCTCTCCCTCTGCCCCCTGCGGCCGCGGGAAGGGGTGCCTGCAATTCCGGATGCGGCCGCCGGGGGCAGCCGCGCAGCTCAGGCCCGACGCTCTGGGCCGCGCCGCTCGCTCGCTGGCCCTACGACTCGGCTGCGGCTGCCAGCGGCCGCCCAGTCCGCGCCCAGCGCCGACCCGCAGGGCTCCCCGTCACCAGACCCAGCACTTCGGCTCCCCGGGTCCGGACTGAGGCCGCCAGCAGCGCCGCGGGGTGTGGGGCGGACCCAGGAGATGAAATGACAACGTCAACCCTCCAGGTACCCCGGCGCGGCGCGGCGGGGCCTGCTGGCCGCGGAGCCGGACGGGCAGGCGGCCTGGAGGCCCCAGAGAGCCCCGATCTCGCGGCCATTCTACCCTACCGCTCCGTCCCCGGCTCCGCCTGTCTGTTTTCACCTGCTGGGAGCCGAGGGCGTCTTCACCCCCCAGAGCCCTTAGCGCTCGCCCGAGGCCGCTGTGTGCAGCCGGCGCCCCCTGTGCCGCCGCACTTCAGCCTCACCCGGAGCCTCACGGGCGCCGCCTCCGGGAGCTCGGCCCGGGCCCGGCTGGTCACTCTCTCCGCCTCCTCCTGGCCCCGACCCCGGAAGCTCCTGGGCCCCCCCTGCAAACGAGCTCCGACGTGCTCTTGTGGGCCTGCAACCCTCATTCATTCCCTGGATCGCGCAGTGTGGTATTGGGGCGGCGCCGCCGGGATGCATGGCCGACCCCACCCCGAGATGCTTGGCCCTCTTAAGTAGCCAGAACACATAAACATTGCTCGGGCCTCGGATGGGTTTTGAATTTCGACTCTGCCACTCACTAGCAGGTGACCTTGGGCTATAATTTGTTCCTGGAAATGTCGGGGTGTAGCCTGAAGGTTTGTCGATGGCTCTATATTGAATATTTCAGTTCCAGCATTCTTAAGGTAACACCTGGTGCACGGTGAGTGGTGGCAGACAGAGTGCGTGGGGGAGTTAGGCGGGACTTGATGGAGGAAGGGGCACTTGGCCGTAGCATCAGTAAAAGAGAGATGTTCTAGTCCCTGCAGGTGGAGGAACAGGCTTTGAATGAGTTGGGATACTGGGCCAGGATCATCCCAGCCAAATGTAGCCTCTGTTTGTGACTGCGAGGTTGGCAACCCCCAGTCTGTAGGTCCCATCCGTCTCACCGGGATTTATATGACCTGGGAGCTGAGAATGTTAGGTGAGAAGTGGCTTTCTTAAACCTGACTCACATCCCATCCTGTCCACCTGTCTGACAGTGTACAGATGCAGTTTTTTTAGTTTGTTGACAGAGATGTGCGGCCATCACACCATGGTCACTCTCAAGAACAGGGATTGTCCACACCCGTGGAGGAACGCATGTTAACCGTGACCTCCCCAGTCTCTCCTGCTCCTGGTCTTTGTCTCTGGACCTGTCTGTTCAGGCATTGTGTAGACGCGGGATCGTACAGTGTGTGGTTCCTTGTGACTGGCCTCTTTCACTTCCTGAAACATCATAGGTTTTTGCCTTAAAAAGGTTTTTGTTTTGTTTTTTGTTTTTTATTGGAAAGGCAGATTGACAGAGCAAGGAGAGAGGCACAGAGAGAGGTTTTCCATTTGCTGGTTCACTCCCCAAATGTCTGCAGTGGCTGGAGTTGGGCTGATCAGAAGACAGGAACTAAGGACTTCTTGCATGTGGGTGCAGGAACCATTGCACTTGAACTGTCTTCTGTTGCCTTCCGCAGACACATTAGCAGGGAGCTGGAATGGAAGTAGAGTAGCTGGGACTTGAACCGGCCATCCATATAGGATGCGAGCGTTGCAGGCATAGGCTTGGCTTAGTATGTCACAGCACTGCTCCCTGCCCTTAAAAAAAAAAATCTTGGGAAAGAAGACCGCCTCGTCACCCATGAAAATGATACCAAATCCAAAACTCAGTGTCTTAGATCAGTTTTATTGGGACACATCCCAAGTTGTGCAGGTACATCCTGGCTGCTTTTGCACTACAGAGACAGAATTGAAGAGTTGCGTGGTTTCCTGGCCAGGCTGAGAGTTAGCCCCGGCCAGCCTCTGTGAATGCACCTTCCTCACCCTTCTCTTCACCGCTCCTCTTGCCATCCGTGTTACTAGAGGTGTGGCAGAACTGGCAGTTTGACTTGTCACCTTCCCCTCCTGTGAGGCAAAACTGTTTGTTTAAAGGCAGGTCTCCTGCATGATTGTGAGAACCTGTGCACAGTAGCCAGAAAACCTATTTACACACAGTGGCTCAGTGCTGAAAGCCTGAAAGAGGGGGAGCAGAGGGATGGAGGACAGAGCCACCTCCAGCAATATCCTGAACCCCACTCCCCAAAGGACGAATCCACACAAGAAAATTGCTTAAAGTGGAAAAGTCCAGGGAGCTGAATGGGGAGGGCTATTGTTCCAGAGAAGGGGAGCCACCGGAGACAGGAACACTGCCTCCTTGGGGTGCTCCTGTGAAGAGCCGTCAGAGGAGAGGGCGCCCAAGTGAGGCTGATGTGGGGGAAGGTTTTGGGCTCTCTATTTGCACATAGTGGAGGGGCTGGCGCTTGCCAGAGGCCAGCTACAGCCAAGTTTGGAACTCAAGAAGGGTGCGTGAAATAGGCATGGAGGAAATGGACCACTACAATTTCAGGATCGTAATGGACAATGCAAGGAAGCAGTCACAAACTCTGGCACCAACCTTTTACGTCATTGTGCTGCATCCACTTGACTGCAAAGAGCGGGTCCTGAGCAGTACAATTACAAAGTTTTCTTTAGGAGCAGTTTGACACAGCTTCAAGGAGGGCACAATTTACAAAGGATGAGTGAGGAAGGATTATGCATTCCTTGCTTATCTCGGCTTGCCAGCCCCTGCCTGCTCTCTCAGGTCTGGGATCCAACCTTGGTGCCACCTGTGACAACCAGACTCCGATCTTGAATTCTCTATGAGTTAATAAGTCTGGGGCCTTGGTTTATGGGGATTAGGGCCATTGGCACTAGTTGGCCATTAGGCCTGCAAGCTCATACAGTCTGTTAGCTAAGCAAGTAAAACAGGAGTTATAAAGGTGAAAAGAATTGCAGTTAGCAGTGAGTCATGTTTACTCCATTTCGATCTCAACTCTGATGGTCAAGTGGGTGCTTCCAAAAGTAATTCTGCAAATTGTTTCACCTTAAGGCAGGGCATTATCCATTCTGACTTTGCAGCCAGGAATTCCTCAGTAGACAACACATACTAATCAGTAATGAACTCCAACTACAATTCGTATTTTACAACTTATCAGTTAGAGGAGAAAAGGTATCACAGAGGGGAAAAGATAAAGATCAGAATCAGAAAAACCACAAATTCTTTTTAAATTTTTTTTCTTTTATTTTTATTAATTACATTGTATTATGTGACACAGTTTCATAGGCTCTGGGATTCCCCCAACCCCTCCCCATTCCTCCCCCCATGGTGGATTCCTCCACATTGTTGCAGTATTTACAAATCAAATTCAGTTGAGAGTCTTTCATTGCAAGCATATCCCAAGCAAAGAGTCCAGCATCTGATTGTCCAGATACATCCAATGGTTTCTTGGGGAGATCATCTCTGGAGGTAGAGCTGGCAGAATATCATCCTGGTCAACAAACATAAATTCTTATTACAACTACGGACTCAATAACCCTAAGTTAGCTTGAAAGCATGTATTATAATGTTAATACATACATTCTTGAGCTCTTCCAACCAAAGGGCCATAAGAACAACCAAGACAGCATACATTGTTAAAGGCCTGTTCACCCAGATATTACCAGCAACAGTAACTCCCAAGCTCACATTGGTTGTAAAAACCATCTTGCAGGGGCAAACAATTCCTAAATAGATTACAGAATTCTTAGCGGGGTGGTCGGATATCGTTGCAGAGGGAGGTAGAACTGTATTTAGGTGGTTGTAGGGACATCCACTGGGCCCTGCGATCCAGCAGGAAGCTCCCTGGGCCACACCAAACAGGGGAGCTGTTTTCTTCACACCTTCGTGTCATCCACATACCTATTGCACAGACCCCAGCAGGTGCCAACACACCCACACCCCTCCCTCACTTCCTCTGCCAAGTCCACGTCACATCAGCCTGGCTTCGCTCTGTCAGCTGTGTGTGCCTGTCTTTCTTTCGGAGACTGACTTAACCAATGAGGAAGGGCTGGATGAAGGCTCAATGAGCAAGAGTCGGTGAGGAGGCTCATGGTTTGCCGTGACTGGGACTGGAGGGTCTGCAGTAGGTACTGCCTGCCTACGACCGGTTCCAGATCAGATGGCAGAGTGTGTTTTGGCCGTGCTCCACGAGCTGATGAAGCTGTGGTTTCTGAAGTTAGGTCTGCAGGTGCTTTTCCTGCTGTCCAGGACACGGGCCTCCAGGCCATCCAGGTTCCAGATGACGGCTTCCCTCCACTGGCAGTACAGGTTTGCTTCTAGAGTAAGCAAGCACTTTCCTACTGGAGTTATGGGTCTGTTGAGCTGTGTGTACAAGCCTCCCCTCCTTGGGTACCACCATGAGGCAGCGTAGGAAAACCCTTTTAGCCAAAATTGAATTGGGCCAGGAGCAGGGAGCAGAGAGACCACAGGTGCATCTGGTAAAAAATCTTGAGTTGGGGTCTGCGTTGTGGTGTAGCCTGTGACACAGCATCCCATCTGGGTGACATTTCATGTAGCAGCAGAAAATGGCCCAAGTATTTGGGCCCCTGCTATCCACTTGGGAGACCCAGATGAAGCTGCTGGCTTCGGTTTGGCCCAGCGCTGGCCATCTTAGCCTTCTGGGGAGTGAGCCAGCAGAAGGAAGATGTCTGTATCTTTGTTTCCTCCTCTATGTAACTCTGACTTTGAAAATGAACAGATCACTTAGGTTGATGACTTTGCTCCAGTCCAGTTTTCTTTCCCCAGAGGCAGTGGAATAAAAGATCCTACACACTCACCCTTTAGCCCCAACCTGAGCCATTAGGTTTCCACCTACTGGGTCCAGGGCAGGGCTGAGGAGGAGATTCCTTCCACCTGCCAGGGTTCACTGTGACCAGGGCCAATGCCTCTTTTAGATTCCTGTTGAGGTCTTTCTAGGTAACACTGGGAAAGTTGGGCAAGATAACAGCCTGGCACCCCTAAACCCACAGCCTGCACTCCTGCTGCCTATCCCTTCCCCCCGGGCTTTCCAGACCTGCTGAGGTGCTCTGAGCTGTTTGCTTGGCCTTTCCAGAAAGCCATTGATCTGGTGACAAAAGCCACAGAGGAGGATAAAGCCAAGAATTACGAGGAGGCCCTGCGGCTGTACCAGCATGCGGTGGAGTATTTCCTCCACGCCATCAAGTGTGAGTTGCACTCGGGGGGGCCCTCCTGGCTGCAGAATTCTAGCAAGAAGAGGAGGGCAAGCCACCGGGGCTCATCAGGGTCCCACCCTGGTTCTCATTTGCAGATGAGGCACACAATGACAAAGCCAAGGAGAGCATTCGAGCCAAGTGCATGCAGTACCTAGACCGAGCAGAGAAGCTGAAGGATTATCTGCGCAATAAGGAGAAGCATGGCAAGAAACCAGTCAAAGAGAATCAGAGCGAGGGCAAGGGGTGAGTGTGTAGGCACGGGCAGCCCTGGTGGGTCGGGAGCCCCCAGGCTGAGCCCCCTCCTCCATGTCACTGTCACTCTGGCGCTGAGGCTGCCGTGGCCTTGTGGGGAATTCTCGTAGTAATACCCACAGCCAGTTTGGTTTTGCACCTCATCCAGCACTTAGTGCATCAACTCCCTGAGTCGAGGTCATGAGCACTGGACTCGGCAGCCACACTCACAGGCTTGTGATGTCAGGCAAGTGCCCTGGCCTTGCTGCGCCTCCAGCCTCCCTTTGAAGGGGAAGGTGAGGGAGCAGGGCCCCTGGTGTTGCTGTCAGGAGCAGGTGAGGGATGAGGGTGCTGACAGAGCCCGCAGAGTCGAGCCCAGCATGTGGCACACACAGACGTCAGCTGCTGTCATTGGCAAAAAACAGCCGTTTTCATGGGTGTGAGGCAGCAGGCCTGGAGGCCGGGGGAGCTCCAGGAGGGAGGGGAGTGTTGTACTGGCAAATCAGTGACATCAGACTAAGAGCTGGCTGTAGGGGTGGGAGGGATGGTAGGCAGGTCCCTACTGGAGGGAAACCTGACCTGCTCTCTGCCCTGTGGAGTGTCACAGCCATGTGCATCTGTGCCAAAGGCTGCTTCAGGCACGTGTTTTCATTTATGTTCAACCAAACCACCTTTCCCAGCAGCCTTAGGAAAAGGCAGGCATCTCTGTTCCTAGTTCCTAAATGAGGGGGCAAGAGTAGGCTTCCAGAGTGTCTCCCAGAGGATCGGAGGGAAGCTGCTACGAACGGGTGGACTTCAAGTCCATGAGGTGCCTGCTCGCTGGTCAGTCACTGCTGCTGAGCAGGGGCAGCGTCCTTTACTGCCATGTCAGCAACCTGGCCTTGCAGAGCAGGCTGCTTTGCTCTGGGCTGCAAAGCCAGATTGTGATTTTCTCTCCTTTTGTAGCAGCGATAGTGACAGTGAAGGGGATAACCCGGAGAAAAAGAAACTGCAGGAACAACTGATGGGTAAGCGGCTCGAGCCCTGAGACGGTGCGGAGGACATAGTGTGGGGCCCTCCATTGGGTCGGCTCATGCATGTGGGCCTGGCTCCAGGTCTGTCACCCTCTTGCAGGTGCTGTTGTCATGGAGAAGCCCAACATACGGTGGAACGACGTGGCAGGGCTGGAAGGGGCCAAGGAAGCCCTTAAAGAAGCCGTCATTTTACCCATCAAATTCCCACATTTGTTCACAGGTAACACTGGGGGGCATCTTGGTTCCCTTCACTTGCAGAGGACAGGACTGAGCCTGGCAGTGTGCTGCCAGTCAGAGGAGGTCCAGGGCCAGCCTGCCACACTTGTCTACTCCTTGGCATCCGGCTGACTTTGTGACTAGAACTTTGAGATGACCACCTCAAGAATGAAGGGTCAGAGACTGCTGCCAACCAGGAGTCATGGGCAGGGCTGGAGCTGGGCTCGTAGTAGGCGGCATCTTCCCCCTGCTCCTACAGAACTCTTCCCACACTCCGCAGGGACTAAAGGTCCCCAGTGGGTTGCTGCTGCCTCTTCCTCCCTCCGTGAGAAGACGCTGACCTCACTTTGACTTTGCTCTGCATTGTAGGCAAGCGCACCCCATGGCGAGGGATACTGCTCTTTGGACCCCCTGGCACGGGGAAATCCTATCTGGCCAAAGCCGTTGCCACAGAAGCCAACAATTCCACCTTCTTCTCTGTGTCCTCCTCTGACCTGATGTCAAAGTGGTTGGGTGAGAGTGAAAAGTAAGTCGGCCCTCCCTAGCAACCCCGGGGACTCTGCTCCCTGTCCTTGGAGGCCCCGCCCAGTTGCTGCTACTTGGTATTAGCTCTAGAAGCCAGGAGGGTGACGATCTTCTTGGCTGATTGTACTGGGTAACAGATATACCCGGAAGGGAACTTGGGAGAGATGCAGGGCTCAAGAGGACAAGGGAAAGGCAGGAGCAGTAACCGAGGGTCAGCTGAGATTGCATTTCCTGAGGGTAACTTATCTCCACGGCTGACTCCCATATTGCAGACATTGAAGCAAAGGGTGAGATGATGGGACATAACTGGACTCAAGACCACAGTGGGGATCTGAGAATTGGAAACCGATGGGGGGTGGGAAAGAAAGACAAATGGACACCTGTTATGTTATTTATTCATTCATTCAAGAGACAGAGCTTCCCCCCTGCTGGCATGTCTGCAGTGGCAGAGGCTGGGCCAGGCCCAAGCCAAGAGCCAGGACCTCATCCGGGCTCAAGTGGGTGGCAAGGACCCAGCAATTTAAACTATCACCCCTACCTCCCAGGATTTGCACAAGCAGGAAGCTGGGACAGGAGCCGGGGATTGAGCCAAGGTACCCAGTGTGTGAACTTGGGTGTCCTAACTGGTGTGTCTTCACTGCCGAGCCACACAGCTTTGCTGCTCTGCCTCTGGATCCCACACTGCTGAAGGACCTGTGATTCCCATTTTTTTTTTTTTTTTGGCAGTCCAAGTATAACTTGTGTCAGCCTCACTGTAGGAAGGGTAGAGAAGATAGGTGCCTGGGACCCAGCCAGGCATTTTTGTGAGCCTCCAGAGCTCACCCTGCTCCCCACCCTTCCAGGCTAGTGAAGAACCTGTTCGAGCTGGCCCGACAGCACAAGCCTTCCATCATCTTCATCGACGAGGTAGATTCTCTTTGTGGCTCCCGAAATGAAAACGAGAGCGAGGCTGCCCGAAGGATCAAGACAGAGTTCTTGGTCCAGATGCAGGGTGCGTACTGGCCCTGGGGTTCCTTAGTTTTAGCTGACCCAAGTCCAAGCCTGAGCTCTGCAGCTGAGCTGTCACTGGGGCTGAGTGTCCCTGGCCAAGCCCAGATGTAGTTTCATTTCAGGTGGAACCCACCCGTAGTGGCCCAGGGCTGGCTGCAGCTGGTGAGAAACCCTGCATTTGCAGCCCCACAGGTTTCATTGCCCTGGCCATTAAAGCCAGATGCTGTCTCTCTTTCTCCACAGGGGTGGGGAATAACAATGATGGAACTCTGGTTCTTGGCGCTACAAATATCCCCTGGGTGTTGGATTCAGCCATTAGAAGGAGGTGAGTCTTCCCGAGGTGGGGTTGGGCTGCAGTCTCCTGCAGCCATGGTCAGCCTGTGACTGGCAGTCCGTTTTCTCTGGGGTCCTCCTCAGGTCGGCCTGTGAAATCATCAGTGTGGCCGGTCTCCCCCTCAGTCCTCATGCTGCTCCTTCTTTTGTACCATTCTACCTCCTGCTCACAATTCCTGCCCTGCACTTGGCTTTCTAGGTTTGAAAAACGAATTTACATTCCGTTGCCAGAGGAAGCTGCTCGTGCCCAGATGTTCCGGTTACATCTGGGGAGCACTCCCCACAACCTCACAGATGCCAACATCCATGAGCTAGCCCGGAAGACAGAAGGCTACTCTGGCGCAGACATCAGCATCATCGTGCGAGACTCCCTCATGCAGCCTGTTAGAAAAGTACAGTCAGCAACACACTTCAAGAAGGTGAGTAGTGGCGATTGCTTTCCATTGCCAGATCCCATTGCTGCTCCCTGCCTTCTCAGGTGATACAGTCTCTTCCCCTGGAGCACCAAGGACAGTGCTCCGTGGGCCCTGCAGCTCTGGGGCAGGTCGCACCTGCTTTCCACCTCCATGGTGTTCTCAGCTGCAGAAACCCCAGAACAGGGCCCCCTCCCAACCTCCAGCGGCCTCTTCAGTCATACAAGTCCTTGTGCAGGGCAGAGGCCAGGTGAATGTTTGACTGCTGAAGGGAGGACGCATCCGTTGGATTGCCAGGTCCTTGTTGCGTCTCCTGTGGGGCCTGCTTTGTGCTTATACTCTGCTAGGTGCTAGGAGAGACTAATAACCACACACACAAAAATCTCTGCCCTGCAGCAGCCTCTCTCTACTTGGGGAAGAGCACAACAGACAGAAAAATCCCAGCTTCCTAGGCAACTGAGGGGAGACAGCAGATGACTCAGAGGTTGGGAGGTGGGTGGGCAGGTAGCACTGTTGAGGGACCAGCCACCCTGGGGTGGCATTCAAGTTACAGACTTAGGAGGTGAGGGGATGAGCCGTGGGGACATGGGGTATGTTTGCCAATATAGCCAGCTTTAGCTAGAAAACTATTTGGGATGTAACTACGTGGTGACACTGGCCAGTGTGAATGAAGAAGACACAGGGCAAGGGTCATGGAGAAGAGCGGCTGTGAGGTAATCGCCACACACACCTCTGAAGCCAGACCCCAAGCTACATGGGCAGCTCAGGAGTGGCCCCTGTGTTCTGAGGGAGCCCTGAGGCATCCTGCCCTTCCCCAAACATGGAGGGCAGCCCTGCCCCCAGTTAGAGTCCTGCTTGGTTTCAGGTCTGTGGCCCTTCTCGCACGAACCCTAGCGTTATGATCGATGACCTCCTAACCCCATGCTCACCAGGGGACCCTGGGGCTGTGGAAATGACGTGGATGGATGTCCCCGGGGACAAACTCTTAGAGCCCGTGGTTTGCATGGTAAGTGACAGAGGGCCATGCTGCCCTGTGCTGGGCTGCTGTGATCTCCAGAGCAAGGCCTTTGTGGGCTAGGTGGTGAAGGCTCCTGTGGAATTAGTATGTTACATTCTTCAGCAGGAAGTGGCTCTGTCCCAGGCTTTGGCTTCCTTGGTCCACAGAAGAAAAGGCCAGAGTCTGTGGGCAGTTTAAACAAATAACTCTTGCTGAGATGGTTCCCATCCCAGGAGCCAGGGCCTTTCCTCCTAGGTCTGCTGTGCTGCCTGCCTGTCTGCCTGGCAGGGATGTGCCCACAGGGCTGGTGTGGGTGTGCAATTAAGACTGTTACCTCTGGGACTTAAGGTAGTGGAGAGACATTGAGCCTTCAGGTTGCCTCCTTCAGGAGGAAAGAAGGTTCCTGCAAGGGCAGATGGGGGACAGGGGGCAGCTGCTGGCAAGGGGGTGCCCTTGACAGTGAGCTTCTCCACTGGGGCAGTGAGGCTGTGTTGGGAGGGCAGACCAGGGCCCCTGAGCCTGGCTGCTCCTCAGATCCCACTCTGGCCTTTGCAGTCGGACATGCTCCGCTCTTTGGCCACCACTCGGCCCACCGTGAATGCAGAGGACCTGCTCAAAGTGAAGAAATTCTCAGAGGACTTCGGCCAGGAGAGCTAAAACTTCTTCACTGGGGTGATGGTGAAGGGGGTTCCACGGTACTCTCCGTGCAGTGGCCAGATGGGCTGTGGGCTCATCCCAGTCACTGCAGCACCCCCTCTGCCACCCGCCACCCAGGAGCAGGAAGGGCCTCGGGCCTCGGGCCGCTCTGCCCCGCCTCCTGCCCCTTGTGCTCAAGGTGGACTCTGGCTCTCCCCTCTTCCTCCCACCCTTTCCTGGATGCTCACCAACTCTCCCTGCCCATGCGTCGACTTTTAACTTTTTTTTGTTCCCCTAAATTAATGCTGCTTGAACTTCTCTGTTTATAAATCAAATCACGAGGACACAGCAAGGAGTGGGAGTGGCTGTGTTTGTGGGTGGTGTGGCAGAGCCCCCTGGCCAGCAGCCACTGCCTCTGCTCCTTGCACTCATTTGCCTCATTGAAGACACCGGCTGAAGCCCCCGGGTCCCCAGGCCAAGCTTTGCCTGCAGAGCCCGACAGTCAGGAGAGCCATCTTCACCCGCTCCCCCCTGCCCCTTGGCATCCAGAGCTCCATGTCTTCCTCACAGGGGGAGATGGTTTCTGTGAGCACAAAATGTTGCCATCAGAAGGTGCAAAGGCAGGTGGGTAGGCGGGCAGTCTACTGCTGCCTTGAACTCCTCTGGGTGTGAGAGCCTGAACACAGTGCTGCCCTGGGTCCCTCCCCTGGAAATGGTCTAATAAATCCTTTTCCCTTCTTGAGCCACCTGAGTGGTTTCCTCTTCGACTTGTGCCCCTCCAGTCTTCTCTCCCTACCACCCACCACTCCCCTTCCCCCGGACAGTAAGAAGTAGGGATGTTCAACAGCTGCCAGAGCTCTCAGGCCTATTACCCTTGCAGGTGGGCGAGGTCCCTTCCCGGGCCATAGCTGATGCGGGGTTTTAAGTTGTTGTCCAGTGGAGGCTGCAAGGCTTGTGGGTCACATGTACAGTCTGCTGCTGACCGTCAACTCCACAGCAGGCAGCCTGGAAGGGCCAAGGGCCAAGGCACAAAGGCTGTGGAGGTTGCCAGTGTGGACACAGAAAAGACCCAGCCTGGGGCCTGTGGAGGGGCAAGTGGTGTTCCTCTCAAACCAGAATGGGCCAGTGGTTGTGGGGCCTTCCAGTGAGAGGCTTCTTCACCCCGGTCAGGCCCAGCTGCTGAGTGGATCCCCTTGGGGTAAGCAGCTTGATGGGCTGGCCTTACAGCTGCTGTCGGAGCTGGTGGGTTAGAGCCATGCTATGGCCACTCCCACGATACCCACAGCAACAGGCCTAACTTCCAGATGACATTTTTGCAGCCCTGTGGCTGGGCCCTTCGTAACTTGGGAGTTCTCATGTGACTGGCTATCTGTCCTTGCCCACCATGCCACCACCGTTTGTGAAGGCCAAAACACAAGTCAGGACCGAAAACACTGCCCGCTCCCTCTCCGCCCCCCACACACTGTGACTGGTCCTGAGAACTTTCAGAGGTTACTTGAGTTACTTGAGCCATTAAGTCCTTTTTTTCTCTGTTTCCTCATTTCCACTGCCCAAACACCCTGGCAAGCCACAGAGGTGGACAGACTATAGGGTGGCTGTGGCTGATCCTCAAGGCTGGGGTTAGAACGTCAGACACCTGCCTTCCTATGTCTCCACAACTGTGACAGGCTCCACCCATCGCTGACAGTGAACTGCCACGTAGCTGGTGGGCGTGTGGCCGATGGCTGCCTGTGGTGGGCAAGAATTCTTTACTGGGAATGCAAGGACTTGCTGGGACTTGCCCCATGCACCCCAAGGGCATTGTGAAGGGCAGCACCTATAAGGCCTCCTGCAGGAGGCATCCTGGTGAAAGGAAGCCACTGTATTCTCACTTTGAGTGTAACTGAGGGCTTTCTACCAACTTTCCCAACAGCTAAGTCTGACTTCAGGGCAGGGCATTGCCAGGACGCCTAGGCCAGCTCCCACAGCAGCCCCAGGGAAGAGTGGGTCTCTCTCAGGTGCACCTTATCAACCTGCCTTTTTTTTTTTTAATGTATTTCTTGGAAAGTCAGATATACAGAGGAGGAGAAACAGAGAGGAAGATTTTCCATCCAGTGATTCACTCCCCAACTGTCCGCCAGAGCTGAGCTGATCTGAAGCCAGGAGCCTCTTTCTGAAATCCCACACAGATGTACAGTCCCAAGGCCTTGGGCTGTCCTCTGCTGCTTTCCAGGTCACAGGCAGGGAGCTGGATAGGAAGCGGGGCTGCCAGGATTAGAACCAGTGTCTATATGGGATCCCGGTGCATACAAGGTGAGGACTTTAGCCACTAGGCCACCACATGGGGTCCCCAATCTGCTGTTTAAATAACTTACTGGCCTTCCTCCTTTTCTATATTTTTTTCCTTTTATATTTTTTATTTTCAAGAATTTGCAGGGCAAAAGCACCTATTTGAAAAAACTCAAGTTGTAACATTCTCTTAAAGCTACACACAGGTCAGTGTGATGTTAATCTTTCTATAAGCACCAGTTCTGCTTTCTGCCTGTCCTGACTGTGGCAGGAAGGGGCTCAAGGCTCACTCTAAATGAGCAGCCTTCCTTCACCACCTGCACCCAAGGAGCCAGCCAGGTTGTGGCTGCACATGGGACTCGGCTTGTGAAAGGTGAAGGCAGGGACTGGACTCCACCTGACCTGTTAAATGTGTGGGTGTGCACTCAGGTTAGTACTGTCCTGAAACAACACCTTGAGCTGAGACTCACCTGCCCCATGTTTCTCGTGTCCACAAGCAGACTAGTGGGAGTCCTGGGCATACCAAGGCCTTGGCAGGCCACGCATAACCTTACCTGTGTTGTCAAATACAGCTATTTGGGATCTTGGCTTTGGGAGCAGACTATACAGACCTTAGGAAATCATTTCTGAGAAGGGTCGTTTACTCACTACATTTGTCCCTATAAGAAATTCTCAGGAAATATCCCCTCCATCTGTGTTGTCGGGGAGGGGTGTTCAGTTTTTTCTCAGGTTGTAGGCAATGCTCTCCACCGCCGATTTCGGGCAAACATTTCTAACATCATCTCCCGCCTTAGCATGGCACACTTTGGCTGTCCGCTGCCTTCTGCCAGAGTCCAGCCAGTACCACGTGAGCAGCCGCTGCTTCTGTCTTGGTGTTCAAGTTCCCGTGACACAGCGAAGCCTCAATCGTTGACCTCCATCCAGTGGACGTTTGTAAATGTCGTGCTGTCCATCTTGTCGATGAACAAACAGCCCTGCAGGTGATCCATCTCGTGCTGGATGATCCGGGCTGTCCACCCGCTCGCCTGCCACGTGACCGGCTCACCCCGCAGGTCCAGCCCTACAAAGCAAGTTCCAGCAGCTGGGCTGAGCTGAGCTGCATCAGTCAGTCACAGCCTCCTTTCCCTAATGCTTCACACAAGAACGGGGAAGGGGTGGACACTGGCGTCCACAGGGTTAAGGTGCTACACCTGCTGTCCCCATCCGTACCTGAGAGCCAGCTCCCTGAAGGCAGGCCCTGGGGAAGCCACCGACATGGGGAACCCAGCTGGCATTCCTGCCCCTGGCTTCAGCCTGGCCTAACTCAGAATGTTGCATACATCTGAGGAGTGAACCAGTGCTTGGAAACTCTTACTGTGCCTCTTAAATAAGCAAACCTTTAAGAAAGGACAGGGAGTGCACAGACAGCAGCCTATATCCTTCCAAGGAAACTCCTCAACTCTGCCCATCCCCAGGTGTTTAACCTGCTTTCCTCCTTTCAATAATCAGGCTGCCGGGCTCACACGGGCTGAGAGAGAGAAGAAATGTTTCCGAAGTGCTCGCTCACCTCCTGAGTCCTCCTGCAGCTTTCAGCATTTCAGGGCGCTCTAATGCAAGGGAATGCCCCTGGCTGTGACTTGAGGACCACCATCTCTCATCCAGGCAGGGAACTGCCTTGAGACAGCCTAAGGCGTGCCAGAAGACTCACCCGGCCTCGGCGCTTCCTCCAACCAAGCCAAACCAGGTAGAAGAGCGGGAGCTAACAGCAACATCGGGGCACCCCCCACCCCAACCCTTTTGGTCCCTGCCGCCCCATCTCCCATCCGAGAGGAGGCTGCCCCCATAGCAGCTCCCAACTATCCACTCTCCCGCCCCCACACGACCTGTCAATCCTCAACCCTGCCCACCACTGGGTCCTCATCTGTCCCTGTGCGAAGCTCCGCTCATCACAGCCCATCACCGCCGCAGCCCCCACGACCCTGTCGCCCGCACCTGAGAGCTGCACGGCCTGGAAGCGGGGCACGCAGGCCAGAAAGCCGGCGATGCTCTCGCAGCCCTCAGGGAAGGTGACCAGGCGGCTGTCCAGGACTCGCAGGCTCGGGTTCACCACCACGCGCAGGGGGAAGGACTCCATCTGGCGGAGCTCCCGCAGGCGCGGCGAGCAGGCGCGGAGGAGCGCCTCGGGGAACTCGAGCGCCAGCACCTGCAGCGGCACCCCGAGCTGCGGCGCGCTCAGCCCCACGCAGCGCCGGCGCCGCATCACCCGCACCAGCTGCTGCGCCAGCCGCTGCAGCTCGGGCCCCGCCAGCTGCGCCGGCTCCACGGGGGCCGCCACGGTCCGGAGCACCGGGTCCCCGACCTGGCACACGTGCGAGTACGGCGGCGAGGGCGGCCCCTTCACCAGACGCCTCACGTAGTGCCAGTAGGAGCGCCGGCGCGCTGGGCCCTCCGGGCCATCCCGAGCGGCCACGGAACTGCAGGCCCGGACGCCACCGGCCCCTAGGGCCTTTCCGCAGAGCCGGGCCGGCTCTCCAAGCCGTCCGAGCAGCAGCAGCCCGTCCCACATCCGCCCCATGGCCCGCGCGCCGCAGGAACCCGGTCCCTGTCCCTCTTCCGCCCTGGCCCTCTGGTGGCCGCCAGGGACGCCGGGAAGAGTAGTTCCCGCACCTTCAACGCCGGAGAGCAGACAGGCTGGGAGCCAAGGAGCTTTATTCCTAAATTCCCGTTTGGCACTGGCACGCTGCTTTCCACAGGCTACATCCCCTCCGGAGGCGGCTCCGTGGGCTCCCCCGGTTCCCCCGAGGACCCCTTCTCCTGGCCACCCTCGGGGTTTGCCGAGGGGCCGGGCTCCATGCTGGGCTCCTGGGCTGGCGGCTCCGGGGCAGGCGCCAGGGGCTCAGGCAAGGGCTCCTTTTCATCCAGGGAGAAGACCGGCTCTCTCTTGGGCAGGATAAAGGCTAGAGGCTCCTGGATGGCGCTGACGTCCACGCGCCCAAAGTCTCCATACTTGGAGAGCTGAGCAGGTGGAATGCCTGACCCAGAGGGGAGAGAAAGCCAAAGGGAAAATGAGTCAGTGATCAAATTCAATATAGAGATCATGGTGGGGGGAGAGGGGAGCAGACACAAACTATTCCAAACTGCCACGTAGAGTGGAGGGAAGCAGAGCCAAACGACCCTGAGCACCAGCCTTCTGGTGACAAACACACGTGCTAGTGTCCACTCAGCCCTGTGATCACCGACCCACTGCCGCTTGGGGGGTTGTGCCACACCCATCCCTCACTCCCATCACAGGGGACACAGGACCTGGAGCCCAAACCGGAAAGAGCATTTAAGACCCCATCCGCACGGTTCATGTGAATGACATCACATGCTGGGCAGGAAGGTGGCTTCTTCCACTGGGCTGGGTGAGTTCTTCAGCTGCGGGTCACATGACTGGCAACGCAAAGGGCCTTTTTCTTACCTAGGGTCTGCGCAATCTGCGCTGGTGGAAAAAGGAGCTGCAGACAGCGATTTAAGTATGGAACCAGGTCTTCAAGGAAGACGGTGCAGAACTGCACAAAGAGCTCCTGTTCGCCGCTGCTGAAGGCAGCCTCCTCTGCACGGTGAAAGGCCAGGAGCGTCTTGGTTACCTAGGAAACAGGGTCCCTCAGTCACCGGGCACTCACCCGAGCCATGTCTGGAACTAAGCAGGAAGGTGCAGCCCTCCATTCTCATGAGGAAAGTTACTCCAAATAGTAAGTGACACTGTTAATCTTGTTTACTCAGGACTGTGGCAGCTGGTCATAGTGCCTGCTGCCCTGCTTCATAGCTGGCATGGCTTCCACTTGCTATACAGGGCTGTGGCTGACCCAAGAACCTACACACGGGTCTCAGATCTTGAAGGAGGCTGGACCAGAACCACGCTGGCTCTGGAAACATGAAGCAGATGTGTACAAGGTTGCTGCTAAGTGAAGGCCTCCGTGGGCCAAACCACCAAGAGGTCCCAGCTGGCGTTACGAAGCGGCATGCTGGCTGGGTAAGGACACGGGTTCAGGTGTCGGGGTCCCTGCATTCAAGTCCCAGATGCATATCCAGTTCTGTGATGTCCCAGTGGCATTCAGCACTCTGCCCGTCAAGCCTCAGTTTCCTCATTTGTACAGCAGGGCCAGTCATGGGACCTACTTCACAGCGTGGTGAGGAGCAGGCCTATATGCATGTATTTGTTCTTACTCATTGTAAACAGTGAGAGAGGGAAAAGCAGACACAGAGGTCTTCCCTCTGCTGCTTCACTGCAGGACTCCTGCCACAGCCAGGACCGGGCCAGGCTGAGATCAGCAGCCTCCACCTCCACCTACCAAACGGGTGGCAAAGGCCGAGTGCTGCTCTCCCAGGTGGGTGTGAAGTGGAGCAGCCTGGGCTCCAGCCAATGCTCATGTGGGATGCTGGAGCACAGAAGGCAGTGGTTTAACCCACTGCACCACAACACCAACCCCAAGGACCAAGTTTTCATGAGTAAAGTATCATGGCTGCTACTGGGCATGGAGTGAGCACCACGTGCTTGCTGATTTTTATGACCTGAATTTAGCTGACTCCTAAGAAATTTTATGCTTACACACATGGTCAGATTCACAGCAGGATGCTGACACAAATTATTATGCAAGTCACAGCTGCTGCCTGGCCAACAGAAATCATGAGATGCCATTAATGGTAAGAACCATCCCAACATTTAAGCATTTAAATGTGTCCAGACTGCAAGCCTGCGAGGATCTTACCATCACCTTTCCCTGTGTTAGGCAGAATCCTGAGGCGGCCTCCTGCTTTCCGCCACCTACACCTATTCGTCTTCCTGTCTGGGCAGACCCGGAGCCCTGGACACCAAGGTCATCCACAGAGCGACTGTCCCCAGCGGGGATGGCTTCCTCTGACAGACCTTGTGAAAAGAGGCTCCTAAAAGAGCCCTGGGCCACAGAACGGCTCTCCCGTGGCCTGAGAGGTACCGGGCACTGTGTGGGGAAAGCACGGCCTCTGGGAGCTGAGCTTCTGCACGTGCAGGGGCTGAGATGGGCCCACCCAGCTAAGCCTGAAGGGAGGCCTGAGGCCACAGCGGGGCTGAACAGAGAGCTCAGGTACCCTGACTCACAGGGGCCAGCAGGTAAGAGATGTGCTGTCAGAGGCTGCACAACACCAGGGCTCTGTCAGGCAGCACCAGGAGACCAGCACAGTATTAAAGCATCATCACACGCAAGCCACTGTGTGGACTGCTCCAGGTCCCCTAACTGGGGCACCCATCAGAACTTCGGCCCCAGAGAAACCCCTCAAGTCTGCAGGCACCGTGGTCATGGACACACGGACTACCTGTCAGCCTGCCTGCTCCCACAGGCCCACAGTTCCCAGCAGGAAGCCCTCGACAGTGCTGCGCTCACCTTGACAAGGGCGTCCTCCAAGGCCCTCGTCACATCCTGCGCCAGGGCCACGGGGCAGCAGAGGCGCAGGTCGTTGAAGGCGACCAGAATGTTGTTGAGGAAGCACGCGAGCGGCGGGAAGTCCAAGAGCACAGTCGGCGGCTGCAGCGTGTCCGGCTGCTCGGCTGGCACGGCCGCAGGCAGGCTGCTGCTGCCCAGGAGTGCGGGGGCCAGGATGAGGGTGTAGGAATCCATTTCATCCTGGAACTTCTCCACTGCTTCCTGAACTGCTTTCTGGAAAGTGCTGAGGGCCACCCGCTGGAACACGGGAGCCAGCTGGCCCCGGAAATCAGCCCCCACCCGGCTGAAGGACAGCCCGAAGTACATGCACTGGCCCAGGAGCGAGTCAAGGCGGCCGCCTACCCCCCGGTCCAGGTCGGTCTCCAGCACCTGCAGGAACTGGGAGACTTTCTGTAGCACCCAGCCGTGGAAGATGGCACTCTCATTCACGGTGTGCTGGACTGCCGCAGCGGGCAGCAGCGGGTCCTCATCTGAGAAGATGGCCCGGTACTGGGTGATGATATCGAACAGGTGGACGCGGCAGGCCTCGATGGTTTTGGTGATATGGAAATAGGGGTCGTCGTTCGGGATGGCAGTCAGGATGGAACGGAGCCAGGCTTCTCGGGCCTGAAGAAACTTCACTCTTAGCTCGGCCTCGGTGAAGACGTCCATGCGCCGCAAGTAGCCGATGACGCGGAGGCAGGCGGGCAGCTGGATGCTGGTCCGCAGCTGCTGGATCAGCTGGCTCAGCATCAGCTGCATGGACTGGCGCACCTCACTCACAATGCCCTGTGGACGCAAGGGGGAGTCACCCCGTGCTGAAAGGGACACCCCCTCTGGAACCCCTTCCTTTTCCTTCCCCCTGAACATGCCACAGCAACCTTCTCGTGGCTTTCCTCGGGGAGACTGCCTAAAGCTCAGACTTGCAGGTTCAGCCCTAAGGATCTAGTTGAGATCTGTAAAACCCGCAGTGGCTTCCCACTGCAGGGAAATTTCAGCTGTTCCCAGCCAGGCCTCGCGCCCCAGTCCCCTCCAGGGCCCGCCCACTGCTCACTACAACAGCCCTGTACCTGCCGCCTCAGCCACCTCATCTGATCCTCCTCACTTGCTGGCTTACTCTGTCCTCAGGTCTGTGAGTGGCTGGCTCTTTTCCATCACCTGGTTTCAGCTTAACTGTCACCCATCCAGAAAGGCCATTCCCTACCACTCTCCTTAGGGACACCACCCTCATGTCCCTCTGCCACAGAGTTCTCATGTGAACTTCCTTCAGATATGTACGCCATCTGAACTGATCCTATGATTCCCTTGTTTGTTGCTGTGAGACCTCCAGCAGGAGCGCAGGCTGTGTGAGGGCAGGACCTTATGTGCTGGGTTGCTGACGCAGCCCTGGCACCCAGCTCGGGGCTTGGCATGTAATGAACACACACCTCTGAATGAAACTCTGCAGGGCCAGACTATATGGCTGCCAGCAACTGGGGTGAAGTGTGCCAGGAGAGTCTGCCAGCGGCTCAGCCATGAGCACAGACCCACTGAAGGGGACCTCAGCTGGAGTCCTCCCTGCCTGAGCTAGCTACCTGGATGACGGGGATGGAGGAATATTTCCTCTCCAGTCGGCGCACGTAGGCCGCAAGCTCCAGGGCCTCTTCGTAATAGCTGTTCCGGACGCAGGTATCCATGAGCTGAGGAATCTCCAGGATCTCCAGGATCTCTGTGTGCCGGTTCAGCGTCAGGGTGTTCATCCTGCGGCTGGAGCTGATCTCCTCAGCCTCCTTCACAAAGTTCCTATAAACCGAGAGGACAGTGTGAACCCTGGCCCTTCACCTCCACCTGCTGGTTCACTCCCCAGAGGGCCTAACAGCCAGGAGCTTCTGCCAGGTTCATCACAAGGGTGCAGGGGTCCAAGCACTTGCACCATCTTACTCTGCTTTCCCCTCCCCTGCGCATTAAATGAATGGGTAGCAAAGCAACTGCAATTAACCTGTTGCCCCAGTGGGATCCTTGCAATGAATGGGGTGGCTTCATTGGCCATACCACAACACACAGTTTCTGCAGCTACACCTTTGCTGATGACCCAGAACTTGCCCTGAACCAGATGCTGGCTAGCTGGTTTGACTGCTTTAATCCTCACACCAAACTCTGAAGTAAATGCTGTTCAACTTGAGAAAATGTTTAATCCCATAGAGGTTAAGCAAGTTGTCCTGTATCACAGAACTAGTAACCCAATGACATGATCTGAATCCAGGGCTGCCCCCTAACTACCCATGGCAAGGTGCTTGACTGCGCTGAAGCCATTTAACAGGACCCAAGTTGCAGTTCCAGTTGCAGTCCTGTACGGCTTGCAGAGGCTAAGGATTGAGAGAGGAAGGGTGGTCCAAAGAGGTGGGGATTTTTGGTGATTTTTGATGCCCTCGAATGGGAGGATTTCTTTGGCAGAGTAAGCTAATCCTCTGCGTGCAACAGCGGCATCGCTTTTGGGTACCGGTTAGTGTCCTGGTTGCTCCACTTCTGATCCAGCTCCCTGCTTTATGACCTGGGAAAGCAGAAGAGGATGGGACCCTGCACTCACGTGGGAGACCTGGAAGAAGTTCCAGGCTCCCATCTTTGGGCCGGATCAGCTCCGGATCTTTGGGCCCCTTGCGGCCACCTGGGAAGCGAACCATCAGCTAGAAGAACTCTCTCTCTTTCAAGTAAAATAAACCTTTGGAGCAGCAGACTTCTGAGCTGTATATGAGGCTGCACACAAATTAAACTGATACTTTCCCAGGTGTCATCTATGTGAGACCAAAGATAATTGCTTTGCATGGATCCTGTTCACAGTTCAACAGCCCTAGGACGGAGGGAGGCGCCGGCTCGGTTCCTGGCTTCCAAAACCAATTCCCAAACTCACAGTGTCCTCGGACCAGTCATAACCTCCCTGTGTGTCTCGGGCTCCTCCTGTGTGAGATGGCGCCGACAGCACCTACCCACCTACCTCGACGGCCACTGGGGGATTTAAATGGACTAATAAAGCGCTACCACAAGTGTCAGCTGTCACTACCAGCGCTCCCAGCAACAAGCCCCCGCGGCGCCGGACCCTGCGCACCTGCACGTCTGCTGGAAGCCCGGCAGGCGGTCCAGCAGGCGGCCAAGCGACTCCTCCACATCGCCGAAGAGGCGGTGGATGCGTTCGGTGCACTCGGCGCCGCGGATGAAGGTCTTGTAGTTGGCGAAGGCCAGGTCTCGCGTCTGCTGCAGCAGCTGCGCCCGCTCTTCGGCCAGGCGTTCGGGCTCACGCCGCAGCCGCTCCAGTCCGGAGCCGCTCAACTCCCGCAGGTAGCAGCCCACGTCGGGCCGCTCCCGCCACTGGGCTTCGGGGAAGCGGTCCCGGAACAGCGACGCCAGGAGACCTTCATCCTCCACCTCTCCGAGAGCGGCCGCCGTCGACGTGGCGCCCGCCGGGGAAGACGACATCGCCACCGCCGTCGTTGCCGCCATCTTTCAGGGTGCAGGGCGTCACTTCACCTGCCAGGACGCACGAGGGCGCGCTGGCTCCGCACCTAGAGCCGGAAGCGACAGGCGCCCAGGGCCTGTCTCTATGGTTTTGTGTGCCCTGGACTTTCCTTCCCCCGCGGTCCTCCCAGGGGGAACGGAGAGGCTCAGACCGGAACTAGAGCGGCCGGCCCTGGCGTTGCCAGGGAGCCGCTGGCGAACGGTTTCCGTCTCCGGTCGACTGAGGCACGAGGATTGCAGGCTCTGAGGCCGCGGGGAAAGAGAAAAATGCGACCTTTGACGGAAGAGGAGACCCGGGTCATGTTTGAGAAGATGGCCAAATAGTAGGAGCGCGGGGCGGCGGGACGAGGGGTGCGTGTGTGCGTGTGTGGTGGGGAGCGGGGCCGGGCCGGGTCGGCTCCAGCACGGCCCGCTGTCTTGTCTCCTCAGCGTCGGGGAGAACCTGCAACTGCTGGTGGACAGACCCGACGGGACCTACTGCTTCAGGCTGCACAACGACCGCGTGTACTACGTGAGGTGAGTGGGCGGGAGTGCGGAGCGGTGACCTGAGGGGTCTGTGGAGGAGCCAGCACCCCCAAGACCTCAGCTTCCTTTCCCTCGCTTTCCTTACCGTAGTGAAAAGATCCTGAAACTGGCCGCCAACATCTCCGGGGACAAGCTAGTGTCGCTGGGCACGTGCTTTGGGAAGTTCACCAAGACTCATAAGTTCCGGTTGCACATCACCGCGCTGGATTACCTGGCGCCCTACGCCAAGGTGAGGATGAGGATGAGGGTGAGGGTGGTGAGAGGGGGGTGCTAGTGACCTGGCAAGTGTCTGGGGAGTCTTGAGGTCTGAGGATGGTTTGGAGCCCTGCGTGGCCTCGTTATGGTTGTTCCTTGAAAATAATAAGCTTGGGCCCGGCACGATAGCGTAGTAGTTAAGTCCTCGCCTTGCATGCGCCAGGATCCCGTATGAGTGCCGGTTCTAATCCCGGCGGCCCTGCTTACCCTCCAGCTCCCTGCTTGTGGTCTAGGAAAGCAGTCGAGGACGGCCCAAAGCCTTGGGTCCCTGCACCCTTGTGGGAGACCTGGAAGAGCTCCTGCTCCTGGCTTTGGATTGGCTAAGTTCCGGCCGTTGTGGACACTTGGGGAGTGAACCATCAGATGGGAAATCTTCCTCTCTGTCTCTCCTCTTCTCTGTACATCCCCCTTTCCAATAAAAAATATTTTTTGTAAAAAATAAGCTTAGTTTTATATTGAAAGGCAAATTGTAGAGAAAAGGAAAGATCTTCCACTTACTGGTTCACTCCCCAAATGCCCCAACACCCAGAACTGAGCCAATCTGAAATCAGGAGCCAAGAGCTTATTCCCATGCAGATACAGGGTCCCAAGGACTTGGGTCATCCTCCACTGTTTTGCAGGACACATCAGTAAGGGAGCTGGATAGGAACTGGAGAAACTGGGACACGAACCTGTGCCCATATGGGATCCTGCTGCTTGCAGGTTGAAGATTGGTGACCGTCCGTGATCATGGTAGTTCTATCTACAAAGGGAGAACCTGTGCCAGGTTCAGGACAACAGCTGCTGGTGAACTGTCCCCAACTGACCTTGTTGTTGGACTTGAGAGAAGAGCTTCCAGGCACTTCTGTTCAGGGATGAACACCTTTGGGGGAAATAGGCATTTTTCTTTCTCTCTCTTTAAGAAGGTCCCAGGACAGCTATCAGCATTTATGTTGTCTCTTGGATTTTTGTTCTTGCAGTACAAGGTGTGGATAAAGCCTGGCGCAGAGCAGTCCTTCCTGTATGGGAACCACGTCTTGAAGTCTGGTCTGGGTCGAATCACTGAGAACACTGCTCAGTACCAGGGAGTGGTCGTGTACTCCATGGCTGACGTTCCGCTGGTGAGTAGAGACAGCTGCACCCTGGTATTGCAGAGAGGAGAGTTTTCAGTTGCACTTTGAATGACTGACATTCTCAGCACGGACTGAGTTCCTCCCGAGACTTGAACCGCATTCTTGCGCTTTGCATTACTGCCTGGCTTCTGTGTGGGTTTTTTGAATGGCTTGAGTGACTTGGTATCTCTTCTTTTGAATCCCAGGGTTTTGGGGTAGCAGCAAAGTCTACACAAGACTGCAGGAAAGTAGACCCCATGGCCATTGTGGTGTTTCACCAAGCAGACGTTGGGGAGTATGTGCGGCATGAAGAAACGTTGACTTAAAGTCATCCCAAGGACACAGGCCTCAGGGGAGGGGTCCGGCTTGTTTTTCCTTTGTCTGTAGTCTGTAGCATTGAATTTTGTCAGCACTGTGACCACTTCAGAGACTTCTTAGTTTAACGTGCCATCACTGACAAATGCAAGCCGGATTTTTACTGTGCACAGCGGCTCAAATATCAGGTTTCAGACTTTTGTGTTTGTGTCAAAATAGAATATCTCATTACGTATTTGAATCGGACTGCGTCTTGTTCTGGGTTACAGGCTCTAAAGTGTTGCAACTTAGAACAAAAATGGTTCTTTGTTATCTGTGATAACACTTTGTCTTCTAAACTCATAAGAATGTACTAGATTTTCTGTTATTTATTAACATCATGGGAAAGATATTGCCATATCAGTAGTAAGCCACAGCTGGGAATTTTCAAATGGAATTTGACTAAATAAATAAGAGTAGTTTATTCAGCTGTTTTTCATACACTAATTGCAGTGTGATGTAAAAGTCTTGGATTCGAACCAGTTCCGCTACCTACCAACTATACAGAGAATCATGTTTTTAGAGCTTCTTGTCAAAGCCTGGAAAATAGTAAGTTTGATTAAGTGGTAAAAGGTATTTTTCTATTGACATGTTGCATATTTAGTAAGTGTAAGGTCTTATCAGTGTAATTTTATTATAAGTTTTTTTTTGTTTTGTTTTGTTTTTTATCTTGAATGATATTAAGCTGACTTTTTCTATCGCTTTGATTCATAAAATATAATCTTTTTTACAAACCACTTGCCTGACTGGACTGGATCAGACTGGACCAAAAGCACAAATCAGACTCTGAAATCACAGTTCAACTTCTTCACCCTTCACTTCGCAAAATTAGTTTGTGAAAATCTATATTTAAAATCAGTAACATTTACAGATTACCTGTATTGTAATATAGTTTTTAAATGAATACTTCTTAATAATTCCAAACAAGATACCTCTAAAAATTAAGCACTTTTTGACTTTTAAAGAAAGGAACTCCACCAACACTTGCTTTTCTTTGTAAGCAAACTTGATTTTATCCCATCATTTTCAACCCTCTGCCTTTTGTAGCTTTTGTTCAAAGGACAAAGTAGTGAACAGCATTTTGATAATAGCACATAAAACATACCTGGAAAATAACCAACCTCGGAGCCTTTCCTTGTCACTGTTTTATTGCCATTTTGCCTTTGTAGGTGAGCACAGTAAAGTTGATTCCCCCCAACCTTCCCACTCCGTAACTTTGCCATAGCTGATTGGACTAAGGTTCTGTCCCACGAGGGGAAAGTTGGGGTGCTGCGCCTGCCGTAGCTTAGCATCTTGGCTTCTTAGTGTCTGCAGTTGTTGGAACATTGAAGAGACGCTTCAAGAAATGAAGCTGCAGCATCCCAGAAAGAACAATAACAAGGCTCTGGGCTGTCGACCACCAGTTCACATAGTTGTAATTTGATTGCAGAAGGAAAAAGTCACCCATTTTCCTCATTCGGGCAAAGTTGTAGAAACGCCACATGTGGAAGATGTTATTCTGTACTTTTCGTGTACTCGCCTATGGATACAGAAATAAGATAAAGCATCAGAGGTAACCCATCTGGTCTCACATGGGTGGTTACCAGCACTAACTAGAAGTTTGAATAATTTACTCATGATTTTAGATATATAATTATGCTTGTGGTTAAGTGCTGGTTTTGCTGCATGTGAAAAATAGTCTTGAGCCCGGCATGATAGCCTAGTGCCAAGTCCTTGCCTAACAACTGCTGGGATCCCATAGGGATGCCAGTTTGTGTCCCAGCTACTCCACATCCCATCCAGCTCCCTGATTATGTCCTGGAAAACAGTGGAGGATGACCCAAAGCCTTAGGATCCTGCATCCATGTGGGAGACCTGGAAGAAGCTCCTGACTCCTGGCTTCGGATCAGCTCAGCTTTGGCCGTTGTGGCCACTTGGGGAATAAACCAACAGACAAAAGAGGTTTCTGTCTGTCCTCTTTTGAAATCTTCCTTTCCAATTAAAAAAAGAGAGAGAGAAATGGTCTGAACTATAGTTTTAACACCTTTTTATTGCAATGAAAACCATGAGTGCTCCAATCGGAGCCCTTCCTGAAGGTTGCATTTCCTGGATAAGAACACAGATGGATTTAAGCTCATTGCTTCCCGGAAATGCTTTCTAGGACTTTCAGTTAAGGGCCTGGGTCACGAATATGTGTACTCTTCTGACTAAATGGTCTCTCTAGTAAATTCTTGGAGCACGAAAGCAGCCCTGGTGTGATGCTTTCATATAAGCCTGCCTGATTAAAACTCCCCATTTATAAAGCAGGCAGTGAACTCTTGTGTATCAAGAATATCAAAGTGAAGATCCCACAGATGGGAGGAAATATCTGCGAATTGTATACCTGATAAAGGACTTACATCCAGAATATGTACACAAATGGGCAAAAGATTTGGATAGAATTTCTGTAGAAAGATGATAAATGTCAGGAAGAATCGTGGAAATAAGATTCCACTCTTTACCCAGTAGGGTAACTATCATTGAAAACAGACGGTAAACAAGTGTTGGTAGTGAGGATGTGTGTGCTGCTGTAAGAGCATAAGATGGTTTAGTGGGGGCCAGCATTGTGATGTAGCAGTTTAAGCCACCACTTGCAATCCCTGACATTCCACATGCATGGGGGTCTAGCTTAAGCCCCAGTTCTTTCAGTTTCTGGTCCTGCTAATGAGCCTGGAAAAGCAGCAGTAGATAACCCAAGTGCTTCAGGCCCTGCATCCAAGCAAAAAGACCTGGAAGAAGAATCGGTCTGGCCCAGCCCTGGTCATTGCAGCCATTGGGGAGTGAACCAGTGGATGAAAGAGCTGTTTCTTGTCTTCTGAGACTCTGCCTTTCAGATTAAAAAAAAAAAAAAAAAGACAAACCAAAAATATGGTTTATCCACTGTGAGAAGATCTGGCAGCTTCTCAACGAAGGTTGTATGACCCAGTGATTCCACCTCTAAACAATCGAAAACAATGCAGAAACTTGTATGGGACTGTTCATAGCACGTGATAGCCAAAAAGTTGAAATAACCCAAGTGTTCATCTACTGATAAATGCGCAAGTAAGTTATTTACCCCTATGTTAAAAGGAATTGAAACCTGACACATGTAACTGGATGGATGGGTCTTGGCAACTACCTGGAATAAGCCTGAGACAAATAGCCTTTTATATGTGATGCTGACCTCCCATCTGAGCAGCGATTCGAGTCCTGGCTACTTTGCTTCCAAATCCAGCCTCCTGATAATGCGCCTAGGAATCGGGATAAGATGATCCAGCACTTGTCACTGTCTACCGTGTAGATCTGGCTGACATCATAGGCTCCTGGTTTCAGCCTGGCCCAGGCCCAGTCATGTGACCATTCAGCAGCAAGCCAATGGAAGATCTGTCTTCCTCTTTGTAACTTTCAAATAAATTTTTTAAATGCCATGTTTTGTGTGTCTCAATTTACATAACATAATAGGTAAGTATTAGATGCCATTGTTACTTGTATGAGTGCTGTTGAATTGTACTCTTTAAGATGGTGAATTATAACATGTCGTATCTTAATTAGGGAAAAAAGGGGTAGTGGCTTAGGTTTAGCCTGTGAGCCGCATTGCCAACCACTGGTATAAAACAAGTGAAGAATTTCAAGAATACAACAGTAAAAAATGTATACAAGAATTTGGATATAGTTACCATCCAGTGAGCTCTCATTCCAGTAGTGTGCCCCATGTAATTTTCATCTTGTCACCGAATTTAAAAAGCTCATGTTACCTCAATTGCATCCAGAGTGTCATTCAGTTGTTTCCTTTCTTGCTGTTGATGTTCCATCTCAGGCCCCTCATAGAAAACTCCAAAATTGAGGTACACTTGCACAGAACCAAAGTGATTTTGCTGGTTACTTAGACAAAGTTGATAAAAACCTGTAATAATTGCGACATCATTAGTAAGCCTTGAGACTCCCACTTATCGTTTAGATTCTTCTAGAGATAGCTGAAGTACAGAGATCCCATATACTCTCCTCTGTTGTAAACTTCCCACATCTTCCTGAGGAACAGCGAACTGGGCTGAAATTAAGAGCATTGTGTTTGTTCCTTAAATGGCATCAGAGCTGCAACCCCATCTTGAACTTGAAACGGGGTGGGAGTGGAGAAAGCTGTGAATGAAAAGCTATCCTGGAGTGATTGTTTACCAGGTAACATGTAAGGAGACTGATGGTTTCTTTACTGGGGCTGGTTCTGAAGTTGCCTTTGTGTGTGGGTCAGGTGGAGAGCAGAGTTGGGCAGTAAGTGTTGAGATGGAAGGTGAAAATGCTTGGGAGGTGCCGTTGGTCTGCAGGGATGTAAGATGCTAAATTTTGTTTAATGCTGAGCAAACATCCTGTGCTATCCAGTGAGGGTTTCGTACTCCTGTTGAGAAAGCACCTGGCTTGTGTAAGGTGGGGCAGGCTTGCTCTTACAGTAGGAATGTTGACTGGAGAATTGTGCTGTGGAGTGTGGGTGTCTCCTGTGGCTGTTCTTTTAGTGACTAGCTCAAGTTATTATGACTGGAAAGAAATGCTATCCCACAATAAGCTTACTAATTGGAATTCTGTATTATTAGATGGTCTCTGGGTCATTTTCCCAGGAACTGATCAGCTATTGGTGATGAGATAAATTGAGCTTCTAGAACCTGATGTTAACAGTAGTCACCTGGAGACCTTATCACTCAAACTACCTTCAGACATCGGCAGTCTTCAGGAACGCTGGCTTGTGGTGTTCAAGGCTTAATATGTTCCTTCTGTTTGGCCATCTCTATATACCTCCTTATTCTTCAACTTCTTAGAAACCTATAATTGTTATAGTAGTTGTGATGATGAAAACCAACCTGTCTCTTTAGTAGAGAAGTTAATCTGCCCCCGAACATCCTGGGAAGTGTCTATGAGGAGACCCTGTGGGGTGTGTGCTGTGGCAGCAATGTGCCGGTCATGTGACATTCCCAGCGTCCGCTGAACCTGCCAAGACACAATAAAATGGAAAAAAAAAGCCCCTGCTACATCTCCAGTAACCAAGATGGGTGGTAACGTTGACCATTCCACCATGAGCAGCTCAGTGATTCTCAAACTGGGATAGGGCAAGTTCTGGGGACTTTGGAAGTATTATAGTTGTCATAGTGTTCCGTGGTGAGGCACAGAAGTACTGAGCGCTGTGCAGGCAGAGCATTGCACAGAACCCCCGCAGCCCCCCTGCTGAGGAAGAAGCCCCATCTCTGACTAGTCATTTGGAATGGATGAGTGGCTAGGTAGGGTTAACGATACAGATGTTCACTGAACTTGTTTGGTTGGTGAGCTCCCTAGTAGTGTCCAGATTTGGACATCTGTTGCATTGCAGCCTGTACCCACATCAGCTAAAGTTTTAAAATCTTTTTCGAGAGGCAGAGGGACAGATACATCTTCCACCCACTAGTTTGTTCACATGCCCACAGCAGCTGGGGCTGGGCCAGGGTGAAGCCAGGAGTCGGCTCCACTGAGGTCTCCCGTATGGATGTCAGGTAGCCATCATCTGCTGCGTCCCAGGGTGCACAGCAGAGCAGTCAGTACTCCAGGTGTCCTGGGTGGCAGCTTCACCTGTGGACACGGTGCCCTCTCCCAAGCTGGATTTTTTGAAGTCCAGGCTGTAATGAGTTGATTAGTAGTTACCATTTTACAATAAATTCAGACTTAAGGAAAAACTCAGGTAATTAAAAACATTTTTTAATTAGTCTACTACTATGTAAATAAAGAATTAGAAATTTAGCAGATTTCCAAGATAAAAAACAAAAGGAGTGGCTCTCTTTAATACTGATATATTGCCATGCCTGTGGAGTTATGATCTGAGACCACAGGATAGTTAAAAGTTCTTAACCTGTGATCAGATAACTTGAAAGCATTTACCTTCTTAAACAGGATTGTCAAACTGAACAAAGAAGCTAACCTTGAGTCAGTAATTCTCCAGTTTGCTGCAATTACCCCAAAAGACAGAAACCCATATGTTGTTTCCCTAACCCCATAAACTAAGACAGCTTTCTTTGAAATCTTTGGGTCAGTCTCCAAAGTTAGGGTACTTTGGATTTCTACTATATACGTAGTAATGTCTGTAAAAACGCATTCCCTTGTCACTCACAAACCTGTGTAATGTTAACAGCTACCCCTCCAGTTTGAGCACTTTCAGTCTCTTGGTAAGGAAAAGCCAAGCCATATGTTTTAGCTCTCACAGGTGATTATTTGTGCACGAAAAGTTGCTGTGTAACTGCAGGTCCATTTCATTAATAGCTGGGAAATCACAGTGCTAACAAAAACAATCAGGCCAGGTTTGGCGTAAAGGCTGATCCATTTTACAGAATGAAAAAAGAGTAAGCCTCTAGTATGGTCAGAGGAGCCCAAGTACCTCATAATTGAAATAGACGTATCCAGCCTGGTAGGCAAATTGCCAAAAGCATTCTGCACCTCCTGGAGGGATCATGATAGCAAAGTCATGTCGATCAGCTGCCCCGAAGAGTGGTTGGCCAGTCAGTGTCTTCTGGCTGCTAGCAGGAGTCATCAGACTCAGAAACACCAACCCAGCCCCAAAGAGCAAAAGGGACATGCTGCTTCCTGGAGACTTCTCTGTAGGAGAAATGCTGCAGCCCAGTGGAAATAAGTGATTCAAGCAACTGCTGTGCTTGGGTAATAATTAACTCCACAATTCAGTCAGGCCAGTTTCAGAGCCATGCACAACAGGCAACAATTGCCATGACATTTCCACTTTTGGCTCACGGGGAGTTTTTTTTTTTTTTAAGATTTTATTTATTTATTGGAAAGTCAGATATACAGAGAAGAGGAGAGACAGAGAGGAAGATCTTCTGTCCGATGATTCACTTCCCAAGTGAGCACAACGGCCAATGCTATGCCGATCCGAAGCCAAAATCCAGGAACTTCTTCCAGGTCTCCCACGTGGGTGCAGGGTCCCAAAGCTCTGGGTCGTCCTCAACTGCTTTCCCAGGCCACAAGCAGGGAGCTGGATGGGAAGTGGGGCTGCTGGGATTAGAACTGGCGCCCATATGGGATCCTGGAGGGTTCAAGGCAAGGACTTAAGCTGCTAGCCACGCCGCCAGGCCCCACAGGGAGTTTTTTTAAATTTTCATCTCCAAAACCCAGTGGCTTGTTTACCAAACCTACTTCATAAGGGCTCAACAGAATTCGACACAAGAGAGAAATTCTATCCTTTGGGCTGTCATTTCAGCTTTTGCTTTTTAGGAATAAAATATTAAGTTTATTTATCATCACTTGATTATACTGACAAAGTTGGCTAGGGAAAGTTTTCTGTTAAGTTAAATTGTTTTTCCCAAACAAGACAAGGCAATATTGGACTATCAAGTGCTGTGTCTTTTTTTTTTTTTTTAGTAGTTTTACTGGGAAAGCAAATTTAGTGAGGAAAGACAGAACTTCCATCTGCTGTTTCATTCCCCAAATGGCTACAATGACCAAAGCTGAGATGATCCAAAACCAGGAGCCTCTTTTAGGTCTCCCACAGAGTCCCAGGGCTTCAACCATCCTCCACTGCCTTCCCAGGCCATAAGTAGGGAGCTGGATGGCAACAAACCAGTGCCCAGCTTGCAAGGGGAGGATTAGCCAATTAAGCCATCACTCCAGCCTGCGCCCACCCCCACCCCCAGTGAAAGCAAAGCCTACAAGCATTGAAAAGAGTGACAAAGATCGTGACCAAAGCTCTCCATGAACATGTCTTTATTTTTAATATATATTATAAAGATTTATTTATTTTTATTGGAAAGTCAGAGTTACAGAAAGGAGAAACAGAAAGATCTTGCATTTGCAGGATCACTCCCGAAGTGGCCACAACAGTCGGAGCTGAGCCAATCCAAAGCTAGGAGCCAGGAGTTTCTTCTGGGTCTTCCATGGCAGGGTTCCAAGGCTTCAGGCCATTCTCTGCTGCCTTCCTAGGCAAGCTGGGAACAGGAAGGAAAGTGGAACAGCCAGGATACAAACCAGCACCCATACTGAATCCTGGTGCATGCAAAGCAAGAACTTGAGCCACTAGGCTACTGTACTGGGCCCTGTACTTTCAAGATTTATCTTTATTGGAAAGGCAGATCAGATTTACAGGAAAGAGACAGAACAATCTTCTACCCACTGGTTCACTCCCCAGATGGCTGCAATGGATGGAGCTGAGCCAACCTGAAACCAGCAGCCTCTTTCAGGTCTCCCATGTGGGTGCAGGATCCCAAGGCTTTAAGTCATTCTCTACTGCTTTCCAGGACACAATCAGGGAGCTGGATGCTATGTGGAGCAGCTGGGACACAAACTGGTGCGTCTGTAGGATCCCGGTGGATGCAAGGTGAGAATTTAGTCATTGAGCCATCACAAGGGGCTTAGGACTTGTTCTGTTATCTTCCACCCTGTAATTCATCTAAAGCTACTGAAGCCACTCCAGATTAAATTGTTAGATCCCTTCTTCCACTCATAACTTCAACATCCACTGTCTTCATAGCAGGCACTAAGCTTAAGAGACTTACTTGCATCTTATTTGTCACATCAGCTCTATGAAGGATGTGCTGTGCCCTAAAAATTGGACATGAGGAAAATGACATACACAGAACTGAGTGGCTAGCTCGTGGTCCCAAAAAGTAGATACCGGAGCTAGGCTCTCATGGGGGCTCAAATTCTTATTAGAGCAGAATTTCTCATGCTGTTCTGAGTTCTGACAATGCTAAAACATGTTGTTTCTGTCATAATCTACAAATTAAGAATGCATTTATGGGTGGCCTAGTGACTTAAGTCCTTGCTTTAGAAGCACTGGGATCCTATGTGGGCACCAGTTCTAATCTCAGCAGCACCACTTCCCATCCGGCTTCCTGCCTGTGGCCTGGGAAAGCAGTCAAAGATGGCCCAAAGCCTTGGGAACCTGCATCCGCATGGGAGATACAGAAGCAGCTCTGGGCTCCTGGCTTCGGATTGGCTCAGCTCCAGCCAGCTTGGGGAATGAATCAATGGATGAAAGATCTTCCTGTCTCTCCTCCTCTCTCTACATCTGCCTTTCCAATAAAAATAAATCTTAAAAACAAGAAAATACCAGGATGCCACATGGTTACTGATTCATGTTTAAGCTGCTCCACTTCCTATCCAGCTCCCTGCTTGTGGCCTGGGAAAGCAGTCAAAGATGGCCCAAAGCCTTGTGACCCTGCACCCGTGTGAGAGGCCTGCAGGAAGCTCCTGGCTCCTGGCTTTGGGTTGGCTCAGCTCTGCCTTGGGAACTAAACCAGTGGATGGACCCTGTTTCTCTCTGCAAGTCTGCCTTTCCAACTAAAAATAACAACAAAAAATATCTTTAAAAATCAAGACACATTAGCATTTTTAAATGAAAAGTTGCTTCTGAGTTCCTGGTATCAGGAGCTAATAAGCAGAGAACAGACTTGAAACATGTCATTCATTTCTGGTGAGGCCAAATTCAAGTTAGCCCATGGGTGCCATGGTAGTCCAGTAGCTGTCTTTAGTAAAGGCAGGAGAGCTCAAGATCATCGCATGGTAAGTGATACAGGCATCCCCCACATGGTTCTCACTACCTCAGCCATCCTACCTTGACTGACATCAGTTGATTCAGTTAGTCATTAGTCACAGAAGTTACATAGTTCTCCAAAAACCATTTTGCTTGTACACATGCTAAAAAATAACACCAAAGTTACATGAAAAACAAAAATTAATAGAGATCAGCTTCTGACATAGCAGTTCTGATGGTGTTGAAGACACCTGTTTACTAAACAACATTCCAGGGCCAGCACCATGGCATAATAGGCAAAGCTAATGCTACAACACCAGCATCCTGTATGAGTGCCAGGTCAAGTCCCAGCTGCTCCACTTCTGGTCCAGCTCCCTGCTGCTGAAGAAAGCAGCAAATGATCAAAGTGCTTAGGCTCCTGTGCTTGTTCTGGAGACTGGGAAGAAGTTCCTGGCTTCAGACTTTTTCAGCTCTGGCTCTGGCAATTGTAGCCATTTGGGGAGTTAGCCAGTGGGCAAAAGATCTCTCCCTGTACTATGCCTTTTACATAAAAATAAATATCCATAAAAGGACACTTGGGTGCTGGTGTGGTGACATATCAGACTAGTCCTCCACCTGCAGCACCAGCAACATGTATGGGCACTGGTTCTAGTCCCAGCTGTTCCACTTGTTATCCAGGTCCCTACTTATGGCCTGGGAAAACAGCAGAGGTTGGCCCAAAGACTGTGTGACAGACCCTGGAGAAAATCCTGGCTCCTGATCATCCCAACTCTGGCCCTTGTGACAATTTGGGAGTGAACCAGCAGATGGAAAAACTGTCTCTCTGACTCTTCCTCTTTCAAGTAAAAAAATTTTTTTTAAGATTTATTTATTTTTATTACAAAGTCAGATATACAGAGAAGTGGAAAGACAGAAAGATCTTCATATCCAATGATTCACTCCCCAAGTGAGCGCAAAGGCCATGCCACCAGGCCCTCAAGTAAAATAAACAAATCCTAAGTAATAGATAAATAAATAAATAGGGGCCCAGCATGGTAGCCCAGTGGCTAAAGTCCTCACCTTGCATGCACTAGGATCCTATATAAGTTCTTATCCTGGTGGCCCCACTTCCTATCCAGCTCCCTGCTCGTGTCCTGGAAAAGTAGTCAAGGACAACCCAAAACCTTGGGACACTGCACCTGCATGGGAGACCTAGAGGAGGCTCCAGGCTCCTGGCTTCAGATTGGCTGCTTGATGAGTGAATCAGCAGATGGAAGATCTTCCTCTGTCTCTCCTCTCTGTATATCTGACTTCCCAATAAAAATAAATAAATCTTTTAAAAAGACTTTTCTTAAAATACTTTCAAAACAGCTATCTCCCATCCTTTGGTTTCCTCTTTAAATGCCCTCAAGAGCTGAGGATGGGGCAGACCAGATCAGGAGCTACAGATGCAATCTAGGCGTCTCATGTGGATTGCAGGAACTCAACTACCTGAGCCACCACTGCAGCCTCCCAGAGTCCATATTAGCATTCCTGCTAGACAGAAGAGGAACCCGGACTTTATTTGATCTCATATATTCCACTATGTGATTATTGGATTGGACATCCAAGGTTGAGCTTATTCAATTCTTTCCACATTTAATCTATAAGATACTTTAAAAAAATTTTTTTTATTGCAAAGTCAGATATACAGAGAGGAGAGACAGAGAGGAAGATCTTCTGTCCGATGATTCACTCCCCAAGTGAGCGCAACGGCCGATGCTGTGCTGATCCAAAGCCAGGAGTCAGGAACTTCCTCCATGTCTCCACGCAGGTGCAAAGTTCCAAGGCTTTGGCCTGTCCTCAATTGCTTTCCCAGGCCACAAGCAGGGAACTGGATGGAAAGTGGGGCTGCCGGGATTAGAAGTGGTGCCCATATAGGATCCTGGCACTTTCAAAGCAAGGGCTTGAGCCGCTATGCCACTAACCAGGCACAACCTACAAAATAGTCTTAACTACGCACCAAACTCCTTCCTAGAAGACAGTAGTTTGTCTAAATACATAGTTTCATCCTTTCACCTAGAAAGTACCTTCAACTCATCTGTGTTGAAAGGAGTATTATGTCTGATGGCCTGGAAGAATATCAGAGCTAACTGCAACCAGAAGCTCAAATTCTCAGCTCTCCTGGTGTTGGTTGATAGAAAATCAGTAGTACCAAATCGAAAGTGCATTGTTAACAGGTAACAAAAGTATAGAAAATTTCCAGTTTATAACTAATGGATAAATTTTCTTTTTAAAAAGATTTATTATATTTTGATTGGAAAGTCAGATATACAGAAAGGAGGAGAGACAGAGAGGAAAAGATATTCCATCCACTGATTCACTCCCCATATGACCTCAATGGCCAGAGCTGAGCCAATCCGAAGCCAGGAGCCAGCAGATTATTCTGGGTCTCCAACAGGGGGCCGTCCTTGGCTGCCTTCCCAGGCCACAAGCAGGGAGCCGGATGGGAAGCAGGGCTGCCTGGATTAGAACCTGTACCCATATGGGATCCTGGCACTTGAAGGTGAGAACTTTAACCACTAGGCTACCGTGCCAAGCCCCTAGTAAGTTTTAAAGCTTTAGCATTTGTTTAAACCTTGCCTTCTAGCTACGCCAGAGTGAGAAAGGAGAAATTTTCTTGTCCTCAGAGAAAGAACATTATATGAGGAAACTGACAAATTAAGAGGCAGCTTCCATATCATCATTTGACATGGCTTCCTAGGATCAAAATACCCAATACATCAGCTCCTTCAGAATATTTCAACAAACCGCTTTGTGAATACATGCTGAGCTGCAAGTAATGTGGTGCTTAAATTTGAGAGAAGCAAGACTTTAATGAAGAAGGCTACAAGTATGGACAATAATTCTCATTTTTAAAAAAATTACAGAAAACACTTTACTGAAATTTTTGCTAAAAAGACAGTCTTTAAAGATGTCGAAGAGAGACAGCAAGCACAACACAGTACAAAAGGAGGGAATGTTGAATTCCAGTGCAAGACACTAACACAGCACAATTAGGGAAGCGGGCAGAAGCAATCCTTTCACAAAGAATGGAATTGGACATTTATATTTAATCAGCATAAAGGGAGGGAACTGGGAATGAAGGGGGTGCAGCTAAGCTTATCTACAACCACCATTTTATCATAAAACACACTGATTCAATCACATGGGAAGTGGAGGACAAACCTGCCTACACAGCCTTGCAGAGATTAAGAGCCAGTGCCAGTGCAGTCAGGGTCTGGGGCTGATGTCACAACTGGTTTATCAGTTCTTAAAGGGGGTCTGATTCTACCAGGACTGGTCTCTCATCAGCCTGGGCTTCAAACAAACTGAAGAAGTTCCTCTGCATTTGCATTGAAGGCCAAAAGTTTACATTGAACAAGTTCACTCCAAAAAATACTCATGTTGCTGGTTTTAAAAGGTCATAGAGTCATAAATGGTTCCTAATAGACTCCATTTCCTATAAGATTCTACAGATTACCAGGTACTTAAATGAAGGCAAACCACTAAAAAAAAGGAAATACTAATGATATTCTGGCACTGTACAAGTTATGTACCTGTCATCTCTGCCAAGAACATGGGGTGGACTTGGCTTTGCTTCTTAGCTCCATGATCTTTAACAGTGATGAAGTGGAACTGAAACCTCTCCCACACTGATGAAGGTTGCCCCAAATCCTCACCCCAGCCCAGTTTCTGAAAGAAACAGACTATCAGGGGCTATTAACAGGAAGCAAGTTCCTGCAAGTCCTGTGGAAATGAAAGCTTGTTTCAGTCCATGCCAAGTTTTTTCATGGTCCGCCAGCGATCCTTAATCATCACAGCTGTTCGATTAACAAATGGGTAATTTTTAGAAATGGCAGTCCAGTTTCCTTCCCCGTACTTCTGCACACCAGCCTTGACCCACTCACTTTCTTCTACCGTCCACTTCTGCAAAAGAAAACAGAAGACACATTTCAGCAGTCTGTCCACTTACTTGTAACTCCTCCAACACAGTGATAAAATAAGCCAAAGAATCCTAGCTGATGGGGTATCTGTCACTATGGTGAAGATGTCATCTGCAGTGCTGCATCTCGTATCTCAGTGCTTAGGTTTGAGTCCCAGCCCCGCTCCTGATTCTGTCTCCCTGTGGATGCACAAACTGGGAAGCAACAGGTGATAGCTTAAGTAGCTGGGTCCCTGGCCCGCACGTGGGATCCCCAGAGCTCCAAGATCCTCAGCTCTTGTGGGCGTAACAAGAATGAAACAGCAATGGGCAATCTCACTCCTGTCTGTCTTTTCCAACCTTTTAAATGAGGTTGGGAGAAATCCTCAGAGAATAATCTGAACCCAAGAGCAGGGTTTATGCTTTTAAAACATATAGTATAGATAGAAAGTGAACATTGTGGACTAGGTATGTAGTAAATCTCCATGCTGCTATGGTTTGCATCTCCAACTCATATGCACATTTAAACTCTAAAATTGTAAGGTGGTGGTGCTGGAAGGAGAGTCTCAACTCAGTTACAGTGTTGAAGAGCAAGCCTTCTGGAAGGTGATTAGTTCACTGGTATCATGTCCTTGGAAGGTGACCGCCAACAGGAGGGCTGGTTATGTACATCCGAGTCAGGCTTAGCTTTATCTGTGCTTCCTGGCATGCTTTGTGATCAGTCCCTGGCACACACTTGCCATTCTTCAGCCTCAACAGACAGCTAACCCACTGAAGAACACTTGGACTGTGACTCTCTAAAATCATAAGCCAATAAAAATCAGTCCTAAGTAGTCTGTCATAGTTATTGAGTGTGTTTTAGAGTGTGTTTCATCTGTCATGAAAAGCTGTTTATAAAGCTAGTACCAGGAGTGTGAGATCATTTTGTAACTAAAAATGTGAAGGCAACTTTGGAATTAACTGATAGATGTAAGAATTTAGAGGATCAGATCGGGAAAACCTTAGGATGCTATAACCAGTTACTGGCCAGGCTGATGAAGGGCTGGAATGTCTTACAAAAGATCAGCTAAGTGGTTATGACTGAAACACTTATAGAGATGTGGATATGGATAGTAAAGGTCATGCTGATAGGGCTTCAAATGGGAAAAGGATTGGGAAATGAACTAAAAGCCACCCTTGTTAGACAAAGGCAAAGAACCTGAAATTTTGTTTCCATGTACTGGGACCTTGTGGGAGGATAAATTTAAAGATGGTAGACTTGTTTTGCAGAAGAAATTTCAACTAAAAAAATTTTTTTTGAAAGAGTTACAGAAAATTTTATCCATTGGTTCACTCCCCAAATGGCCACAACAGCCAGCACTGGGCCAGGCCTAAGCTGGGAGCCAGGAGTTTCATCTGGATTTCCCACAAGGGTAGCAGACATCCAAAACCTAGGACCATCCTCTGCTGCTGTCTTCAGGCCAGAAAGAGGGAACTGAATTAGACATAGAGCAATCGGTATACAAACTGCAAGCACATGGGATGCCAGCATCTGCTGAGCCACAGCTTTGGGCCAAACGAGATTTCAAGGCAGCATGTGTTCAGGTTGTGGCATGGGTGTTACTGGCCACTGTTAGTAATATAGTAATACTGTTCTACAGTGGCAATCAGGAACAAAAAGGAAAAACCAGAAAGATGAAAATTTGCAGCCTGGCCAAAGAAAGGAAAAAAATCTGTTTAGGATCGGATAATGAAGTAGAGAAATCTCCAGCTGGATTACTGCAGAACAAGGGAGATATGTGCTAACAGGGAAAAATGGGAGAAAGAGCACAGAGATACTCAAAGATTTCCCAGGCTTCCCTTCTATCACAGGCCAGAGGCCTAGAAGGGCAGAACTGTTGCAAAATCCCAAGAAACCTTTAATAACCTTCCTTGGCATTCTTTTCCCTGTGTTCTGCCTGCAAAGCAATCAGTGGCTGCTGCCTTGCTTTAAGTCGGCGCAAGCTAATACTCTTGATGTTTCATCTCCACTACAGATCCTTTTTATATTCCAAATTTAACATGTCTTTCTTGTTTATGGTCCAGAAAGCAGTTTAGGCTTCTGTCCCCCTAGATTTTTCTTCAGTAAAGCAGAAAAACTTAGTTGAAAAAAATCTCAAAAAAAGTTACTGAGTACATGTCTATAAGAGAGGGATCTTATTTTACATCAGCTGTATGTATTGAAAAAGTTCATATAAATTACCTGCTTTCTTGTGCCACTTGTTGTACTATCTTCCTGTGGTACTGCTGAGAAAACATCAAGAGTAGAGTCATTTCAGACTTTACCTTTCACTCCATAAACACACACACACACACACACACACACACACACAATGTCACCAGAGGGAAAACTTGATTCAAAAATCCCAAGATGGAGAAAGATACCTGTGAAGGAGAATTTGTGCCCTTTGTAAGACCAGTCACTTTAGCTCTATAGACTGTGTTTTACTGTATGTGTGTGTTCACTGGCTATTATTATTATTATGATACAAGTTCCATAGGCCCTGGGATTTCCTTCACCCCCTCCCCTGCCCACTGAGTTCCCCTATATTATTACTATAGTACAGTTCTTCATACACAGTCATATGTCCATCATCGCAGGCATGGACAATGGCATCCTATTATCCAGCATCCTATTGTCAAGATACAGTAAACGGTTTCACTGGGATTCCATCTTTGGTCGAGAAGTAGAGATGTATACTGCATTGTATCCTCACCTTTGAATATGACAGTCTACACAATTACTGTACATCCCCTTAAGTGAAAAGCCACAAAACAAAATCAACAACAGGAAAAAAAAAAATTAAAAACACCATGAAGTTGAATAACATGCTGCTGAACGACTAATGTGTTGCTGAAGAAATGAAAATCAAGAATCTTTTTGAAGAAAATGATGCTACTGTATGATCTATGATTCAGTGAAGAACTGAGAAAGTGTTTTCCATGAGATATAGTTTCTGCTGATCTTTGTTGGTGAGATATATCTCCTGAGGGCAACAGACAGATGGGTTTTGTGTTTTTTGAATCCAGTCACTAATCCATGACATTTGATTGATGAGTTTAATCCACTTATATTCAGGGTTAATATAAATAGGTGGTAATTTGGTCCTGTCATTTAGCAATGGGTTGTTTGTTGATTTAGTCTTCTGTTGTTAGTTTACTGGGATATTCTTCACATTTAGCTTTGGTTCTGGTGGGTGCTATTCCTCTTCTCTCTCAAGAGAATATCTTTAAGTATCATTGGTAGGGCAGGTCTCAAAGAGGCATATTCTTTTAACTTTTTTTTTTTTTTTTTTTACTATGGAAGAATTTTATTTCATTTTCAAAGACAAAGGAAAGTTTTGCTGGGTACGTTATTCTGGGCTGACAATTTTTTGCTTTTAGAATCTGAAATATGTTGCTCCATTCTCTTCTGGCCTGTAGAGTTTCCTGTGAGAGATCTCCTGTGAATTTAATTGGCATTCCTTTATATGTCAATGATTTTCTTTTCATGTGCACATTTAAGGATCTTTGCTTATGTTCATTTGAACCACGCTTGATTATCATATGTCATGGTGAAGATCACTTTGGGTCAAACCTGTTGGGAGTTCTGTGACCCTCCTGGATGTTGTTTCCCAATTCTTTCTCCAGATTAGGGAAATTTTCTTTTATTGTTTCATTAAATACATTTTTGAACCCAGCTTTTCTTTCTGCACATTCTGGAACTCCTATAACTTATATTTGGCCTTTTAATAGTGTTTTTTTAATTCTTGAATACTTTTTTTAGTTTGGCCCAGCTCTGCTTCCAGTTTTTTGGTTGTTTTCCCATTGTGACAAAAGATATCTTCCAATTCTGACATTGTTTTTCTGCCTCATTCATTCTGTTATGGAGACTTTCCACTGAATTTTTAATTTGCCCTATTACATCCTTCATTTCCAATAATTCAGCTTGAATTTGTTTCAGTGTTGCCCTTTCCTGTGTGACGTTCCTTAAATTCCTTGAACTCCTGTATGTGCTTCTCATTGTTGATAAGAAGCTTTACAGTGAGTTTTCTGAATTCTGTATCCCCCATTTTCTCAATGTATTCCTCCGTTAACTCTGAGGTTGGCAAAAGCTTTTGCTCCTCTGCAGAGGAGTCTAGAGTAATATTCATTGTGCCTCTGTTTTCTTTTGCTCTTGGTCACTGTGCTTCTGGTTAGCAGATTCTTCTCCTAAGGGTAGATTTCTAAGCTGTGTCACCTACAGGTCTACAATTTGATTTTATGTGGTTGGTACACGGCTCTTTGTTTGCAATCACCCATGGCACTCACTCCAGCAAATTTCAGGTCTGAATTCTTATGTTAGACTTCCACCATGGTCTCCGTAGCTCCAGCTCCTGGCTCACCAGTCTCCACCTCCTGTGATACCATTGCACTGTTGTCTGTACAAACGTTCTCCCACTTCCAGTTCAAGTAGTTCCTAGGATTGGGGAGATACCAGGTGTCCTATATAGCTGGGTTGTTGGTGGTGATCTTGCTGGAACCTATTGGCTGTTAGGTCTGAGGGCGACAGGGACCTATTTTGACCCATACGATTCCATAGTCTGTATTTTTTCTCTGTGGCACCAGTGCAATGTACCGATTTCAGTGAGTTCTTGCTGAGGTCAGCGCATGTACAGTTTACTGTTATCCCTGAAGTCTCAAAGCCTTTGCCATACTGTACAAAATGATGTCTGATGTGCCACTGCTAGAGTTCTTGATCTGCTAGCTATCAGGTCTGTGAGCTACCTGGATCTATTTTGGGTGGAACCTGTAGGATGCCTCATTGTTTCAATTCACTGAGCCAGAAATTAGTTCATTCCCAGCTTAGCACAAGCGCAGTACTGTCCCATACCCTTTGCCTTCCTACACAAAATGGCACCTGATTCGGCTCTAGGGGAAGGACTGGGCTGTGAAATCTACCCTGTTCCCACACTGCCTGCTTGGGATCTGCTGCTCTGTCTCTGTTCCTGGTCAAATGAAACAAACCAGTAAGACAGGCAATTCTTTGTCTGGGTTCACCTGCTGAGCTCCCAGTGAATTCCCCTTCCCACCTTGTTGCTGGTGGAGTTCTGGCTACCAGTGGAGTTCAGATGGCTGCTTGAATACTGAATACTGCTGGGGTATCAGTCACTGCAACACTACATTGCTATGTCTGCAGATTCTTCTGTCAGTCTCCAGATGCCTCTCTGCTGTCGTTCTGTTCTCTCCTATTTCCTGGAATGTGCCCTCTCTGCTTCACACTGGCTAATGTTTCTCCATCTGTTTAAATGTGTGCTTACCCTATCTGCCATCCTGATTCTCTGACACTGGTTAATGACAGGTTTTTGTCTAGAAAAGATATTATTTTCTAAAATTACTAAGGGATTATGATTTTTTTTTGTAAAATTACTTTATTGGACCCTAGTTTGTGTTCTGCTCCACCACCCATCCAGCTCCCTACCTGTGGCCTGGGAAGCTGGTAGAGGATGTTCAAAACCTTGGGACCCTGCACCTACATGGGAAAAAAGGCTCCTGGCTCCCAGTTCTCAATCAGTTCAGCTCTGACCGTTGCAGCCATGTGGGGTGTGAACAGTGAATGAAAGATCTTTCTCTCTGTCTCTTCTTTTCACTGTAAATCTGCATTTCCAATAAAAATAAATAAATCTGTAAATATTTTTAAATTTTATTTAGTTGACAAAGAGAGGAAGAAGCAGATCTGCCATGCACTTGTTCACTCCCAAATGGCCACAATAACCACAGTTAGGCTGGTCTGAAGCCAGGAACTTCTTCCAGGTATACCCCAAACATGCATGGACCCAAGCAATTTGGCCACCCTCTGCTGATTTTCCCAGGCCATCAAAAGGGTGCTCTAGGGGAGGTGGAGCAGCCAGGACATGAACTGGCCTCTACACAGAATGCTGGTATTACAGGCAGCAGCCTTATCTACTATTCTACAACACTGACCTGTCATTACTTAAAATTTATTTTCACTTTATTATTATTAAATTTATTTTTATTGGAAAGGTAGATATACAGAGAGAAGGACATACAGAGAGAAATCTTCTGTCTGCTGGTTCACTCCCCAAGTGGTCACAACAGCCAAAGCTGAGCCAATCTGGAGCCAGGAGCCAGGAGCTTCTTCTAGGTCTCCCATGCTCCCATGGAACAGCCAGAACACAAACCGGCACACAGATGGGATCCTGATGCTTGGAGGTAGAGGATTAGCAAATAGAGCTATGGTGTGGTATCCTTCACTTTATTTTTTATAAGTTTATCTGTAGGGCCCAGCACAATGGCCTAATGACTAAAATCCTTGCCTTACCTGCGGGGATCCCATATGGACGCTAGTTCTAATCCCAGCAGCTCCACTTCCCATCCAGCTCTTTGCTTGTGGCCTGGGAAAGCAGTTGAAGACGGCCCAAAACCTGAGGACCCTACCCTGGAGGAGGTTTCTCGCTCCTAGCTTTGGGTTAATGTAGCTCCAGCCGTTGCAGCCGCTTGGCGAGTGAATCAGCAGATGGAAGATCTTTCTCTCCATTTCTCCTAATCTCTATATATCTAACTTTCCAATAAAAATAAATGGCACAGTAAATGGTTCATTTCTCAAATGTCCACAAAATTCAGGGCCAGGTCAGGTTGAAATCAGGAGTCAAGGATTGCATTTGGGTCTCTTCTGCAGGTGGCAGGTACCCAAATACTTGGGCCATCATGTGCTGCTTCCTAGGGTGTATATTGGCTGGAAATAAAACTGGAAGTGGGGCAGCCAGGACTGGAACTAGGCAAACAGCAAGATAACCACGATGCCAAAAACCTATACCAAGACTGTCATATTTAAAATTATAACACATTTATGTATCTATATGTGTATGTGTATTATAAATGACATATCTATAATTTCTGCTTTAGGACTCCCTACCAGCCACTGCTTTTATATAACAGTTTTATTTATTTAAGCTAGAATCTTCAAAACATTATTCATTTTTTTAAAGGTTCATTCATTTGGGCCTGGCGCAGTAGCCTAGTGGCTGAAGTCCTAGCCTTTCACACCTAGGATCTTACATCGGCGCCAGTTCTAATCCTAGTTGTTCCATTTCCCATCCAGCTCCCTGCTTGTGACCTGGGAAAGCAGTAGAGGATGGCCCAAAGCCTTGGGACCCTGAACTTGTGTAGGAGGCCTGGAAGAAGCTCTGGCTCCTGTCTTTGCATCAGCTGAGCTCCAGCTGTTGTGGCCCCTTGGGGAGTACACCAGCAGACAGAAGATCTTTTTTCTGTATCTCCTGGGAAATGGAACAGCCTCAACATGAACCAGCACCCTTATGACGGTGGATACAAGGTGAGATCTCAAATCTGCTTCTCATCCTAGACAAGAGCGCACATTTCAGGCTGGCATTGTGGCACAGGTTAAGCCACTGCCTGTTTTGCCAGTATACCATTACTGGGGCCAGTTAAAGTGCTGTTCCACTTTGATCTAGCTCTCTGATAATGTGTGTGGAAAAGCAGCAGAGGATGATGGCCCAATTACTTGGCCTCTGCAATCACATGGAAGAACTGGAAGAAGCTTCTGGCTTTGGCTTGGCTCAGCCTAAGTCATTTTGGTAAACCAACAGGTGAAGGATCTCTTCTTTTTCAAATAGATAAATAAATCTTAGACAAAAACAAGGTCTCAAAAACATGCCCCAAGAGCACAGGCACTGACCTTCCAGTTAACTGTCTACATATGGTACCTGCGTTTGATCCCCAGCTCTAGCTCCTGTCCCACTTCCAGCTACTGCAGACCCTGTTAGGCAATGTGGATGAATAACGTAACTGAGTTCCTGATACCCTGTAGATCTAGCTTGAATTCAGCTTCAGCCCCACAAGGAGGTTTAGGGAGCTGTTAGGGCACTGGGAGAGTGACCAGCAAAGGGGAGCTCCCTGTCTGTCTCTTACATAAAGAGTAAAAATTTTAAAGGCCAGATGGTCACAGCAGAGTGTGTAAGTACAAAATAGATACCATTTTATGACAATAGGAGCCATTTAAAAGGCTGCAAAAAGAAAAAAAGCAATGTTGCATAAACTGAAACTTGCTGTGTACCTGAACAGACATCTGTGTCCTAGCAGCAGCTGCGATCCAGTGAAGAAGATGGCTCTAGCAAAGAGATGCCTAGGGGGCAGGCTAGTTTTTTTTGTTTGTTTGTTTTAAACAGTGCTGAGTATTGCCTGTGGCAGCAGCAGATTTTAAGCTGACATATCTAGACTTCACTGCACGTACCTGTTTCCTAGATCTTTCATCCTATTGTTTTAAAAGATTTAGTATCATTTTGATTATTTTCTGTTACTTCATCCATTCTCCATATGATCTTGATCTTAGCTATATTTCTGCCAACTAAGATACTTTCTAAGGACAAAACCTTTGGGACTGGCAAAGATCTACTGTTGCTATGTTACCAAAGATTTTAGAACCTCTCTTCCCCCCCCCCCGCCCTGCAGATTAAGATTTAACATTTAAAAATTGCCATTAGAAGAAATATGTAGTGGGAGAGATTCTAATACAAATACTATGAAGTTTAGAATAAATTGTGGAAGAGTTAAGTTTCTTAAAAAAAAAATTTCTATTGAACTGGTAAAATGGAGGGAATGACCCTTCCTATTTCTTCCAATTAAGGAACTTTAAGAAGAACGTCAACTACAATTAAATCTCATACTTTTTATTAAAATAAAGTTAGGAATCTTTTTCAATCATAAAGTGTTACTTTGAGTTTGGTTTAGTGAGAAAGGACATAAACCTGACTCCTCATCAATTAAAATGATTTCAGGTCTTAATAACCTTCTTAATTTTTTTCAAGCTTAGGTACAGCAATTTCTAGAACATAACTAGTATGGTAACATACTCTGTAATTCAGCAAACATTAAGGAGTTGCCAAGGCAAATCTGCTGCTTACCCTGAACATGAAACAGTTTGTCCTCTTCCGTCCAGGTGTCTTTTTCTTCCACCCCATTAGAGCTGTTCCACTTGCCTTTGGGTACTCTGAAGATCAAGGAGAGGACAAGGTATAAGCAGTCATTCCAGTACACCCCATGCTGCCCTCAGCTCTCTCTGGCCTTGTCCTGCTGTTGGCTACATGTGAGGTTCCTTTATACACAGTTCCAAATCCACTCACCCTCTTCCTTGACTGGCCAGGCATCTCCATGGTAACATCCCCAAGGTTGAAGGCCCACTGCTAAAACTCAGCACAAAGCACATCACCACAACCCAGAAAATTTTTTCCAACTTTTCTGAGTGGTTTGGACTCTTAAAGTTCTTGGCATTCTTCCAACCCATAAGGTACAAACTTCTTCACACACATGCCCTATTCCATCTCTGGATAGCCTTCATAAATTCCTCTAGGTCATATTCATCAGAAATTTGTTAGCCTTTCCTTTCCAAAGCCACCAGAACAAGTGTGCTAAAATGACTACATCACTACAGTCCAGGATGGCTTCTCCCTTCATGAACAGAACCTAGATGTCTTTACGGGGGCTTCCGGAACATCCAGTCTGCTCCCCCTCCACTCCTCGATACAGATCATAGCCCCCTGTTCTTCCTCCTATAAGCTCTGCATGTTCCTGCTCTCTATGTCACAGTCCCTTTACCTGCGAGTCCCTTCCTTGCAGGGGAGTCCTAGCCCTTCTCCAAGGCTGTCACTCTCAAGAGAGCTTCCTTACTTTCAACCATAACAAGCCTATGGTCCTCACTCCTCCATCCCATGACACAGGCATTCCCTTAATACACAATTATTGCACAATGTGCCTGAACTATGAGCTTCTTAGAGGCAGAGGCCATAACACCTAGACATAGTCACACACACCCTGTAACTAAGGCAATACTGGAACGGTCCAAGAACTGCACAGGAATTACAACAACAAAGACTAAATAAGCAAGCAAGAATCCTTCCTCTGAGCATGAGATGTTAAGTACTCAAGTGTAGCCCACGAAAAGACCCTCCAATTGAAAAAAATACCCAAACCCAAATTAAGTGAAAACAGTGATCTATCTGTTCTAATCGGCTGGTCTCAAGAACACGAAAATATTGTTTACAAAACAGAAATGTCTGAATTAAGAGTTTTGGATAAAGAACAAGTTAACCTGTAGAAGCTGACCAAGGGAATAGACAAATTTCTTCTTCCACACAAAAAGAAACTTATTTTTAATACTCTTTTGGGTATTTTGCACATAAGTAATGAAAACTAGTAATAGCCTCAAAAAACAAAACAAATTCCTCCAGCTTCATTCAGTTTTTTAATGATGTTATTTATGCAAGTATTGAGACAAATGGTGGACTCTTCTGTTTTGAATTTGGAACATACTCCCCAAAATGTTGAAAATATTTTAAGACAAAGAGAAAAAAATCACATGTGGTTTTTCCCTCTTCTACATATTACTGAGTGTTGTTATTTGATAAATGGAAGTCAGAGATAGGACTACAGTTTGTTTTCTATCTACTTAGCTCTGTGCTAACATAAAATCAACTTGGATCCCTTGCTCAGCTATTCTCTGCAGCCGTCGCAGCTCACTCCTGCCTTCTGGGCATTATCACTTGCACAGGTGTTCTGGTACATATCTGAAGGCCTTCAGATGATGGCGTCTCACTGACTGCTGAGGGTGGAAGGAGCTGAGACCAGGCCTCTGAACTGTTGGTGGCTCTGTGGTCCCAGGCAGCTTGGGCTCCTCACTAACCAAGGGTCTGCCAGGAGCCACCAAATTAGTCTGTGGCTGCTGGCTTGTGACAATTGGGAGACTAAAAAATGCCTTTACATCCTTAAAGAGTTGCAGGAATAAATTTTAAAAAGGAACATGAAACAGAATAATTATGTGGCCCGCAATGCCCCTGCTGGCCTTTCATAGTTGTGGGTCATCTCTAAAAACGTGAGAATCCATATTGTGTTACCTTGCTACATGGAAGGTTTTATAAGACAAAACCTAGGACCCAAAGCCCTGACCTCCAGTGGTTCTGCCTACTAGCCTTCCCCTCCTGACTGCAGTGTCCCCAATTCTTCAGGTCCTCCCTGCTTGCCTGGCCTTGTCTTCAGCCTGCATTACCTCAGTGCCTGTCCTAAAGCACTCAGGGACAGCTTATCAGGCTTCAAATTAATTGTATTATATTGTATTGAGTTATCTAAAGCAAGGTCAGAAGCATGAGGCTGTTTTCTTTTTTGTTAATATTCCACAGGTATTTGTGACATGACGCCTGGTTTCAGAGCCTTGGCCTGACAGACGACATGAGAAAACCGAGATCTGGCACCGAGACCCATGCAGACTGTTCTTCCCATATGCTGCCTTCTTCCATCACACATACAACAGGTAACCTTTCAGAGCACTTCCTACTTCTTAGGCTTGTGTGGCAGGAGTCCCCACCACTAGGAACCCTGCCATGCTCTGGGACCTGCTCAGCCTTACCCACTCAGCATCTGCTCCTCTGTGAGCTTGCTTCACTCAACTGCTGAGTGAGCACAACTTGTCTTTCTCCAAGCTCCTAGGGCACCTCACATACACTTCCTTTAAGAGTAGGGATCAGAGGATTCCTCTTCCTGTAAAGGACCACAAAACATGCCCAGCACTGAAAGCAGCCATAGTCATTCTGTAATTGATAGGTGTGGCTGTGTTCCACTAAAACTTTATTTGCACAGACAGGTAGTGGGTGGACTTGGCCCAAGGGCCATAGTTTGCTAACCCCTGCATCCAAGTACCCGTCATACTTCAAACCTTGATATATGAGAGGTGGGTGTATCTGGAACTTTCACAGATCCTATTTACAAAAGCATTGCAATCCTGAAACTTCTCATTTCCTCACCCGTTCATGAAGACTAAAACCTACACCCCACAGGACTGCTTCAAGAGGTAAATGTATTAAATAGTGTATGGAGTTATATCTGCTGCCCATCATTTGTGACTTACTTCCAAATGGCAACTCAGTACACACAGTAAAGTCTGTACCAAAGTATAAACCAAGGCCCTGATGCCACAGCCCACTGAAGTACCACACAACACATGCCAGAGCACAGGTCCCCAAACAAAAACACAGTGTAGAGACGGCAACAGCCTTGAGAGACCAGCAAGCTGGGTCACTTACACAATGTTGAATGGGGCAGAGTTCAACGAACTAGCAGAATTTTGAAAGGCAACTTGGTGTATATGGCTTATAAGCTTTGAGTTTCTGTGTGAAAGCTGACTTACTTAAAAGAATCCCAGTGGGCCCAGCACAGTAGCCCAGTGGCTAATTTCCTCACCTTGCATGCCCAGGGCATACTCCCTGCTTGTGGCCTACTAAAGCAGTTGAGGACAGCCCAAAGCCTTGGGACTCTGCACCCACATGGGAGACCTGGAAGAGGCTCCAGGCTCTTGGCTTTAGATTGGCTCAGCTCCAGCCATTGTAGCCATTTGTAGAGTTAACCAACAGATGAAAGATCTTTCTTTTTCTTTCTCCTTCTCTGTGTAAATCTAACTTGCCAAGAAAAATAAATCTTAAAAGCAAACAACAACAACAAAAACCCACCCTGAAAGCCCTTTGTCACTCTCAGCTGTGATTTCAAGTGAGGTAAGGACTCTTCTGAACCCTCCTCATCTACACAATGGGCTAACATATCACCTCACAGAAAAAGGAATACAGAAATTCAGTGACATTTTACATGAAAGTCCTTGACCCCAGAAAGCACTTAACAAGTTTCTTTTCCCTTGGAAGGACAAATGGGATTCAGACAAGTAATGGAGGGATGCCAGTTTGCTGTGAGGAATGAGAAGTGCAAGTAGAGTGGCAGAACAAACACAGCGTATTCCAGAGAGAAGCAGATCAGTTTGCCTGGAGGAAGGATCCACATAGGGCATAGAGGACAGGAGAACTCAGAGCCAGGCTGGGAGTCACAATGGGAGCAACACACTAGCCACCATCCCAGAGCACCTAGCACAGTGTGGGAGATCAGCATACAAGTACTGAATCTGCCAAGCTTCAAATGCTCACAAAAGGTACAAAACTATAAATATTCATTAGTCACTTTTAAGGATCAAGGCATAAGATGACCCAATTCAAATAAGTTTCTTTTACAAACAAGACTAATATTTATAGTTAAGGCACTCAGATGTTTGCTAAAAACAAAAGCATCGACGAGTAGGAGGTTCTGAAACCTTTCCATCCTCACCCCTGCCCTAGTGTAATGGATGGGAGCCTCCCAAGTCTCATTCTAGCAGTCTGAGCACAACTTGGTGGTAACTGAGCTGAGTTACTTCATCCATAGAAGTAATACTAGGGCCAACCAGGACCACCAAGCCCCAAAACTGCTACAAGTAAGTTCTTCATACTTGGAATTCTTCTCCCTGGGGCGGGGCTGGTTGAGAGGCATGGGCTTGGGTGGTGATGCAGGAACGGTCTCCTGGGAAGAAGTGAGGCCTGTGCTTGGTTCAGTGCTCTGGCTGTCCTCTTCCAAAACCAATCTGCTTATCGTCATGCGCTTGGTCTTGGGCTGCAGTTCTGAGCCGCCCTCACCCTCTGCAGGGGCTGAACTTTCATTTTCATCTTTTCTTGGTCTTTTAGTTTTGAGGGCTGATGATGGTGAGGTCACTCGATTAGGAAGTACCAAATCCTTCTGGTCCAGTTTTGAGAAGGCTGCATCAGAATCCTGTGCACCAGACAGAGCCTTGAAAGCTGCCTTCAAAGCTGTGATTCCAATGGTGGTGGGAGTGTTCTGTAGCTGCCTGCAAATAAAGCAGACACAAAAGTCAGCGTCACCACTAATGATGTGTACAGGCAAGAGCCTCAACTTCTTTTGGAAGGTGAACTTCTAGTTAGAGAAGAGCCATCAAGCTGAAATTCCCCATTTAAGAGGTACCAGCAGGGCCCATCATGGTGGCCTAGTGGCTAAAGTCCTTGCCTTGAATGCACTGGGATCCCATAAGGGTGCTGGTTCATATCCTGGCTGCTCCACTTCCCATCCAGCTCTCTGCTAATGGTCTGGGAACGCAGCAGAGAACAGCCCAAAGCCTTGGGACCCTCCACCTGCGTGGGAGACCCAGAAAAAATTCCTGGTTCTTGGATCAGCTCTGCTCCAACTGCTGCAGCATCTTGGGGAGTGAACCAGCCAATGGAAGATCTTTGTCTCTCCTTCTTTCTGTAAATCTGACTTTCCAATAAAAATAAATAAATCTTAAAAAAAAAAAAAAACAACAACAGAACAAGCTGATGAAGACTTCTCTTTTCTCTGTAACTCTTTCAAAAATATAATTCCTTTAAAAATAGAGGACAGGGGCCCGGCGCGGTGGCGCAAGTGGTTAAAGGTCCTCGCCTTGCACGCCCGGGATCCCATATGGGCCCCGGTTCTAATCCCGGCGGCCCCGCTTCCCTTCCAGCTCCCTGCCTGTGGCCTGGGAAAGCAGCGGAGGACAGCCCAAAGCTTTGGGAACCTGCACCCGCGTGGGAGACCCAGAAGAGGCTCCTGGCTTCGGATCGGCATAGTATCGGCCCGTTGCGCTCACTTGGGGAGTGAATCATCGGACGGAAGATCTTCCTCTCTGTCTCTCCTCTCTGTATATCTGCCTTTCCAATGAAAAAATAATAAAAATAAATCTTTAAAAAAAAAAAAAAATAGAGGACAACATAGATGATTGGAACTAGCTTTACATCACCTTTATTTAGAGCAGCTCCTACTTAAAGTGAGTGCAAATAAAGATTTTAAGATAAAATAAAACAGATAAGCTGTGTTATGCAGTATAAACTAAAATGAAGAAAATCTTAAAGCAACTCTAGCCAATGATATTTCCTCAGAAGCCTCTTGAGGCTTTTTGCCACCCAGACCTTTTTGTGTATATAGACAAAAGCACTTTGTCTTCCCATCATGTGTAAACTCTGGTTGATGCCACGTGGGCCACCAAAGCATCAACCAGCAATCTCACCTGAAAATCCAGACTCATCTAGCCTGCCCACTCCAGCTGTGCTGTGCAAGAAATAAGCCTGCTCTCCATTCTATCTCTTCACTACAGTGTATATAGAATCTTGAGAATTGTCCCAAGTAAGAAGAGTGCACACAGCCTTAGAACAATGAAAAACTGCCTTTTCACCCATCTTTGGAACAGCTAACGCATGTGATGTCTAGACTATTAAGAGAGGGAGACACTGGCAGCATACAATCCAGAACGAGCTGACAGATCTGTCCTGCTGACTTGATCATGTGAAGTTGTTTGTACTGATTTTTCCCTAATAGACTGTCAGTATTCAAAATTGAGAAATCTCATATAGAAAACCTAAGCATCTCACAAAAAACTTGAACAGTGGAAGTTTGGACATTCTTGGTCATTTTCTGAGGGTATTACAAACTGAAAAGCCTGTCTTCTGCGGTCACCAGTCCCATCCCAGACTTGCTTTCACTTGCCCCATCTCATGTGAATATGGAGAAAGATATTGCAAGTCCTCGCCCTCTCAATCTCTTTCTGTATCACTGTGTCTTTTCCTCCCCGCCCCCCCCCAAAAAAACAAAGAGCAGACCCTGCTCAGTTTTCACCTAGAGCCCAGCAGGCATTGCCCTCACCTGGCAGGTCCTCTGGGGGGTTTTCCCACAGGCTCAGGTGGTGGCTGTTTGCCTTTCACTGTACTTGAAGCAGCAGACTCAGACTTCAAAGCCTTTTTGGCCATCTGGGAAATAAATGATGTCATCAGGAAGAGGAAGATACAGGACTTATAGTAATTCTCCATATTCACCATGTAAACAAGTTCAATTACAAATTCAATTAAGAATCATCTCAAATTTCTTTCATTCTTTCCTCAGAAAGCATAAACATACCCAAAAATGATTCACAGTGTTCTATACTGAAAGAGAACTTGGCCCAACATGGTAGCCGAGTGGCTAAATCCTTACCTTGCATGCACCGGTACCCAATATGGGCGCTGTTTTATATCCCAGCTGTTAGACTTCCCTTGCAGCTCCTTGCTTGTTTGTGGCTTGGGAAAGCAGTGAAGGATGGCCCAAAGCCTTGGGATCCTGAACCTGCATGAGAGACCCAGAAGCTCCTGGCTCCTGATCGGCTCAGTTCTGGCCTTCAGCCACTTGGGGAGTGAACTAGCCAATGGAAGATTTCTGTGTCTCCTTCTCTGTAAATCTGTCTTTCCAATATAGATAGATAGATAGATAGATACAACTCTGTTTGAGAGACACTACCCATCTTCACCTTGTAAGGATATTTCATCTTTTGGATACCAAATAATGACATGATTGTATGTACTCCACACTTCTATACCACCCAGTCAGCTCTGACCAAGTTTTTTAAACTATTTATTTTTATTGGAAAGGCAAATTCTACAGAGAGGAGGATACACAGAGAAAGATCTTCCATCTCGTAGTTCACAAATGGCCACAAGGTCTGGAGATGAGCCGAGCCGATATGAAGCCAGGAGCCAGGAATTTCTTTTAGGTCTCCCATACGGGTGCAGAGTCCCAAGGCTTCTGGCCTTCCTCTACTGCTTTCTCAGGCCACAAGCAGGGAGCTGGATGGGAAGTGGAGCAGCCAACACATGAACTAACACCCACAGGGGATGCTGGCATTTACAAGTAAATTAGCCAGGTGAGTCATTGTGTAGGCCCCTAATCAATTTCTGATTTAGGTACACCTGGGGTTATGTTCACAAGTAAAAACTTACGTTTAGTTTTCAAACTTAAGGTAATGCATATTTACAATAATGTCTTTTACTTTATATACAGTTATTTTTACAACTGTTTAGACAAGTATATTTTACCTCATCAACTTGAAAATCCTGACACCCAGAAACATTCTTGTTCCACCTGTCTCCTTCTGACTTGAATTTTATTTCCAATCAATCCAATGTCATTGAATTTCAGGTATATTTCTTTTTCTCTGTAATGTGTTGGGTTTTGCTTTCCTCCTCCTTTTTTTTTTTTCTTAAAGGTTCATTTATTTGAAAGAGTTAAGGAGAGGGGGAGATGGAGACAAGAAGAAAGATCCTCCATCCCCTGATTGAATTCCGGAATGGCCATTAATAGCCAGGGATGGGTCTCCCTTGTGGGTGTAAGGATTCAAGCATCTGGCCAGGCTGTAAGCAAGGAGCCAGATCAGAAGTGCAGCGGCTGGGATTCAAACTGGCTAGATTGGGTGCTAGAGTTACAGGAAACAATTTAACCCACTGTGCTGTTCTGGTCCAAAAGCCAATGCCAGGATACTTCCCAGTCACCTGCAACGTCACGAAAAGGATCCCAGCTCAGACTCAAGCGTTCTGACACTTTTTCTATGAATATCTCAAATTACCCACTTTGAAAAATAATTTGAAACTTGCCAAATTGCTAGCATCAACACTAACACTATCCCAATATGGACCTGGCAGATTTACTATTAGGATATTTCAACATTCTCAAAAAAATTTTGTATCTATTAAAAAACAAAACCTCACTTTCTCTCAGCATGCCCTGCTCACATCCACTATCTAGGACAACCTGTTCTATTTCTCCCTAGTGCTGTCCTAAGCTTCGCAGCTTCCATTCTCCGCTCAATTACAAAATTTTTCATTTAGCTTGTTTTGATCTTGTCATGCTTCCAGTCATACCTTTATCCACACCATGATTTTTTTCTTAGTGTTTATTTATTTGAAAGTCAGAGTTATATGTAGAGAGAGTCTACCCCCTAGATGACCACAACAGCCAGCACTGGGCCAAGGCATTCATTTGAGTCTCCCAGATGTACCCCCTGCTCTTCCTGTAAATCCCATTACACTGCATCTACCAAGTTACCCATTCTCCAACATTTAGCTCAAATTCTACCTCCTTTGGGAACCACAACTGACTCGAAATGAACATTCTACTTTAACCCCAGTAAGTTAATTACATGCAGAAGAGCTAAAAATGGGAGGTGAGGGAGATAGCACCTTGCTTTTTTATTTCTAAGACATTTAATTAAGGAAGATAGCGCATGTGCAGATAATGCAAAGTTTTTCACACAATAAGTCTTTTCACTTCTGATTTTCTCCTTCTTTGCACAAGCTCAGGGGCACACCAGTGGTGGGAGGAAAGAAAGGTCAAGCACACCGTGAGGAGGTAGGGCTCTGTGTCGTCCAGGTGGCTCTCCAGGAAGCGCAGCATCTTCTGTTGGAAGGTCTCATAGGAAAAGTTCTGGATAACAGGGTGGGCCAAGTTCTTTTCTCGAATAATGTTCAGGAGATCATTTCTCATCTTCTACACAGAAAATCAGCCATTTGTAACACGAGAAAGGAAAAGAAAAATCCAGCAAAATTTGAGTGATGATGAGAGAGAGAGAATGCTGTCAGCTGGGACACACATATAAAGGGAAGCCCAGCACAAAGGACTGGTCAGTAAATTAAGAGTTCAGCCACAATAAGTTATTTTGCAGCTATAAAAAGGGATTTTAAAAAAGTTCTTTGTGTGCTAACAGAATAATCTCCAAGGTATAGCAGTTAAATATATACATACACACACATATGTTCAGATTAGTATGAAGAATATACTGTCACATATGGGAGTCTAAAGACAGAGAAGATGCATCTGTGCACTCATGTCTACACACACACACACACTCAGTAAGGGTCAGAGACGAATTTTCATGGAGGTTTTTGCTTACACTTTTTGAACATTGTTATTATGTGGCATATTACCCTTCGAAAAAATAAAGATTGGGCCCAGCGCAGTAGCCTAGCAGCTAAAGTCCTCACCTTACATGCACCGGGATCCCATATGGGCGCCAGTTCTAATCCCGGCCGCCCCGCTTTCCATCCAACTCCCTGCTTGTGGCTTGGGAAAGCAGTCGAGGACGGCCCAAAGCCTTGGGACCCTGCATCCACATGGGAAACCTGAAAGAGGCTCCAGGCTCCTGGCTTCAAATTGGTGCAGCTCCACCCGTGGCGGCTGCTTGGGAAATGAATCATCGGACCGAAGATCTTCCTTTGTCTCTCCTCCTCTCTATACATATCTGACTTTACAATAAAATAATAATAATAATAAAAAGAAAAGAAAAAATTAACAGCAGGGGGCCTACATAGCTTCTACCAGTAGGTCCTCATGAAAGCGGAATCCCAGTCTGCGGGATCAGCATGTATCTAAACAGGACAGAAGTGTTAACAAAACCCGTCAGCCTCCCAGGGTGTGCTGACGGCCAACAGAAGTGTTCTGTCACAAACCAAACAGAAACAAGGCAAATAAATGAATGGCTTGTGTAAGTTTGCTTAAGGAAAAATAAATTCTAACAAACTAACCTTACAGCGAATTATCATGGACATAAATGGCAAGTGTGGCATATTTAAAGACTACGTGGATAAAATTCCTCACAAAGAAATGATGGATTTAAGTCACAAGAACAAAAAGATACCAAACTTACCTGAGTTGTGGGGTCCTTGGACATGTGTTTTTTCAAAATTTTTGAAGCTTTTTCAAATTCTTTGTTTTTGATACAAATAATGACAGCCTAAAAAAAAGCGGGGGGTGGACTTTCTTTTTACTTTTGCAATAACAGGTGTAATCAAAATATCAAATCGCAAAATAAACTAAAAAGTCAAGAACTTTTTTACTTTAAGTCTAATTCCTGTACTTAAAAACTAGCAGTTATTCAAGCAGGCAACATGAACAATGATAAGCTGTTTCCATCTGTAAAGTGGTCACTTTTCAGTTTTACAAAGAATTTTTTTTCAAATGGCTGATAGAGCAAAGTGTGATCCCCTGGATTAGACCATTTAAACAGCGTGAAGAGAGCCTGAGGCAAGACAAAATGGCCAGGAGTCATTTCAGGGCCCTGCATTCTCAGCTCCTTAGAGTAACTGGGGAAAGTTCTTTTGGATGCCAGAGCTTTAAATTAAAAGGTGAGGAAGAGGGAAGATGCTCTGTAAGTAGGAGAAAGAAAACAGTGATTTGCTGACCACAGAGAAAGGTCAGGTCTACGGGGGCACAGACAAGCCTGTGCAGCACAAACCCTAGCCAGCAGCTGTTGATTACAAGTGCAGGGAGACCAGCACAGCCAGCTCACCCAAGGCAGCAAATAATAAGGACCAAGTTCTGGGTAGGATTAGACCTCACCAGTCACAAAGAAAAATCAAAGACCTGTGAAGAAACTCCACAGCGAACATAAACAGAGGAAAAATTATAGTGACTGGGGATTAAAAAGGGAATCTTAACACGTGAACAATTAAAAGAATTAGAAAAGCCAACAGAATGCTGACAGCCTCTGGAGTTATAAAAGATAATGGAAATACCTTAAACCTCTCTCAAAGCATCACCCCCCCCCCCTTTTAAAATATCATTGAAAAAGGAAACGAGTAGATATTGTGGTTTAAAACTTAGAGAGTTCAGCTGTCACCTGGGATGGTCTGCACTTCCTGCTATAGGAGCCAGCAAATGATGACCCAAGTCCCTGCCACACACAGGAGACCCACATGGAGTGCCTGTGTGTCCTAACTTAAACCTGGCCCAGGCCTGCTGCGGCAGGGATGTGGGCAGTGAACCGGGGGACGGAAGATTTCTCTGTCTCTCGCTCTCTGACCTTTCAAATAAATACATTAACAAATCATTAAAACACAAAACAGCAAAGAAAAACAAACCAGTCTGTTGCCTTCATGGGGAACAATGCACAGAGGTCCAGAACAAAAAAGGAGGAAGAGCAAAGGAATCTACGATGCCCTCATCGTTCTGTCAGTCGGGCGGAAGGGGATGGGGTCCGCCACACGCTGTTACACACACAGGCAGGGAGGCTGCCAAGTAACTTTTCATTTTAATAGATAACCATTACATCATTTTCAGCACAAAAACCATAGTATGACTATACTTTCTTGAAGAACACAATTTTTACTTTTAATATCATACAAGTTGGGCCCGGCATGATAGCGTAGCTGTTAAGGTCCTCGCCTTGAACACAAGAGGATCCCATATGGGCGCCAATTCTAATCCCGGCAGCTCCACTTCCCATCCAGCTCCCTGCCTGTTGCCTGGGAAAGCAATCGAGGCCACAGGCAGGGAGCGGGAAGGGAAGCAGGGCAGCCAGGGCAGCCAGGATGTGAACCAGCACCCATATAGGATTCTGGTGCTTGCATGGTGAGGATTTAGCCACTAAGCTTTTGCACCAGAGCCCACACCAATAATTTTAGCTAAATAACATTGTATTTATGGTGTACACAATGCTTCAAAATATATTTAGAGGCTAAATAATATGGCAGATTTTAATACTCATGGGAAGCTGGTGCCACAGGTAGAGGTTTAACCCACTGCACCACAACGCAAGGCACAATTCTTTATATATATTTTAGATACAAGGTGTTTGTCACATACTTTATTTGCAAATATTCTCTCACAATTCGACCCTAGCTTTGTCTTTTCTTAATTGTTTTTCTTTGTGTGTGTGTGTTTTTTTTTCTTAATTGTTTTTCAAGCACCAACCATTTTTCCAGTTTACCCAACCCAAATAAAGTCTCATGGGGACAGGACTTTGGCCTAGAAGAGGTTAAGTTGCAAATTAGAATACTTATGTCCCATACCAGAGTTGCTAGGTTTAAGCCTTAACATCAGCTACTGATTTCAGTTTCATGGTAGCATGTACTACGGGTAGGCAGTACTAATTGCTTAAGTCATTGGGTTCCTGACACATAGGACACCTAGGTTGAGTTCCTGGACCCCAGCTTTAGCTGTCCAACTATCATGTGCATTCTGGGATTTAATCAGTGGGTGGGAGTGTTCTTTCTCTCTTAATGCCAGTCAAGTAATTATGAAGTTTGGCATTTGACCCCAGCACATTAGCCTAGTGGTTAAAGTCCTCACCTTGCACACACCAGGATCCCACATGGTCAACAGTTTATGCCCTGGCTACTCCACTTCCCATCCAGCTCTCTGCTTGTGGCCTGGGAGAGCAGTCGAGGACAGCTCAAAGCCTTGGGACCCTGCACAGGAAGCCCTAGAAGAGGCTCCTGGCTCCAGATCAGCTCAGCTCTGGCCGCTGCAGCCACTTGAGGAGTGCACTAGGGCATAGCACATCTTTCTATCTTCCCTGTAAAATCTGCCTTTACAATAAAAATAAATAAATATTTTTTAAAAGTTTGGCATTTATTACAGTACCATCCTACCTAAGACAGCACATAGGATAACATGCATATTGCCAATACAACATGCAAAGCTGTCCACGGTGGGTGACATTCTCAGCAGGAAATGCTAAGGAGATGATGATGAGCATAAATGAGGTACATCATTTCAGGTGCAATTTCTTAGAGAATTCGCTTGGATCTTTTCCAGTGTCTTGTCTTGCTATTTTACTCAACAACTTTTCTTTCAGATCCATGGGGGATATAGAGTGATAACTTTCTTGTGCTTTTATTTATTTACTCACTTATTTACTTATTTGTTTATTTTGGGGCCAGAATCACATGATCCTGAAAGTCTTCTAAGAGGACATGGCAAAGAAAGTAGGCACACACACTCATGGCAGAAAGAGAAAGGTAAGTTTCCAATCTTGATATAATGTAGTCTTGTATTTCCTCTTATGAATGTGGGTCTAGCATTTTATGGAAGAATTTTTGCCTCACTCCCGGACATTTAGATATGTTCATGATTTCTTGATTTTACATCTTACACTTAGTTTAAGAATCATTTTCAGTGAATTTTTGTATAAGCTATAAATGTAATGTCATGGTCCAAATGAATGTCAATTGTTTCAACATCACTTGCTGGTAAAGATTATCCTCTTTCCATTCAATGCCTCTTGCCATTGAATTCCCTTGATATCCTGTCAAAAATCAGTCGTATCTGTGTTGGCTCCAGTATTTTGCTTCTGGTCTCTCCTGTACCACCATCTGGATCTCCACAGCCATGAGGAACTTTATAGTCATTTTAAAAGTGGACAAAATGGTTTTAGTTGTTTCACCTTTTTTTTTTTAAAGATTTATTTATTTTTATTGGAGAGGCAGATTTTACAGGGAGAAGGAGGACAGAGAGAAAGATCTGCCATTCCCTAGTTCACTTCCCAAGCAGCCGCAACGGCCAGAGCCAGGAGCCAAGAGCCTCTTCCAGGTCTCCCACGTGGGTGCAGGGTCGCAAAGCTTTGGGCTGTCCTCAACTGTTTTCCCACGCCACAGACAGAAGCTGGATGGAATACAAACCAGCACCCATATGGGATCCCAGCACATACAAGGGGAAGAGTTTAGCCACTGGGCTTATGTGCCAGACCCATTCAAACTGTCTTTTAAAAAGGGTTTAGAATCAGCTAATCAGTATCTGTAGAAAATCCTGCAGAAACTGTAACTGGAATTAATATTTACACTATAGATTAACTTCCCATCCGTGAACATGCTATGTCAGGTCTGTATTCATCATCATTTTCTATTTTTTCATGTATAGATCCTGCTTGACTTACACCCAAGTGTTATTTTTCCTTTAATTTTTGGTGCTTTAGTAAACAGCCTTGTTTTGGTGATTTAAATTGTTCACTACTAGTAAATAGAGGACTTGGTATTTTACACCTTGCTGTTTATAGGTTTATATGCTCCGTAGCATTTGCTGTGTATAGTCACATCAGCTGGAAATAGGCAGTATGACAGTACTTCATTCCTTTCCTTCCAGTATGTATACCCTTTTTTTTTTTTCATGATTCATTTATTTTAAAGGCACAGTTATAAAAAAAGGGAGAAGCAACTGCCACGGCTGAGCCAGGCCAAAGCCAGGAGCCAGAAAGCTTCATCCGGGTCCCTCACATGTGTCAGGAGTAGGTACTTGGGTCATCATCCACTGCTTTCCCAGGTTCATTAGCAGCGAGCTGGATCAGAAATGAAGTCACTAGACCACCATGCCAGCCCCATCCTGTCTGTATTTCTCTTTCTTGCTTCATCACACTGCCTAGGCCTTCCAATATGTTGAACAGAATAGTGAGAGACAAAGTTGTCTGGTCTTTACCATTACTATGTTAACTTGGCCTTTCTGTAGATACCTTTTATAATGCTGAAAAGTTCCCTTCTATTTCAGTCAGCTTAGTGTTTTAATCATCAACTAATGTTGAATTTATCAAATGATTTTTTTTGCAGTAGATGATTATATGGCTTTTCTTCCTTAGCCTAAAATGGTAGATTACACTGATTTTCAAATATTAAGTCAATCTCGTATTCCTGTGCTTGAATTTTCCCTACCCTGTCATAATGCTAACTGCATCTTTATCCAGGGCCAAGCAGCAGGTTAGAGAAGGTTAAAAAAAAAAAAAAAAAAAAATTAATGGAGTATATTCCACATTCTGAGAAACAATGCTTTTCCAGAGAGAAAAAACAATTTTTTCCAGTAGTTTTAGGTGCCTACCCTGAAGCCAATGTCACTGCTAGCAACTGCTGCTGTAAGGCAGTATTGCCAGGGGGCCAGGCTAGGAGCAAAGGGAACAAGGAGAAACACTGAGAGCTTAGCATAGCCTTGGACCAAGAGCCCGTCTTCTGGAGCTTTTCCCATTCATGCCTTGAATGCAGGTACAAACTACAGGTCGCCTCTGAGTCCAGTCCATGTAATAACTAGAGGAGGATAAACAGCAAACTACCTATAAGTGATTTGGTAGAATGGAAAATTCTAGTCTTTTTCCTTGTTTGCCTACATTTCAGAATGCACAGGTCGTTGCCCCATGCATTCTGTCCAAGATATACAGTTGGTTCAAGAGGGAGAGATAGAAAACAGGCTCCTTCCTGGAACTGGAACACAGGTCCTACTGTATTCAATTTGTGAAACAAGAAAGGAAACGTAAATACTTTCCAAATGGAATTTAAAAGTTTGCCCTCAAAGCCTGTGCTAAAAACTATGTGCTAATTTCCTGTGGAAAAAAAAAAATTAAGAGATCTTGGTTCTTTATTAGGCTGTTCTCAGAAGTATAATTTCTTCTCTTACTACATACCTGTTAGGTTACTGCCATGTGAACAATATCAAAGGTCTTTTGGTAAACTGAAAAAAGGAAACCTCAAGCATAGGTTTTCAAAATAGGCTACATAGGTTTGCATGGGAAAGAAATTGCCAGAAAACATATTAACTAAGGAAGAGGAAAAAAAGTTCCCAAAACTGTAAAAAGGCTATAGGAGACACAAAAAGAAACAAGGGGCCCTGAGAAACAGCATGGCCCTGTTTAAAGAGCCACAGCCACGCCTATTTCCAGAGGTGCCACATCCCAATGCGGAGGCCTTGCCAGATGAGGTGCTTATCACTACCGGAGCACGGCAGAAAGCAACACGTCCACTCAGAAGGCCGTAACACAATATAAAAGCTTCCCCAAGAACACACAATAACAGTTGCTCTCTTTTCCAAAGCAAACTAACTGAAGGAATCCCTCTTGCAGTTAGGAAGAAAAAAGGATTACAGTGTCAACACAAATCACAGCCTGCAGGAGCAAGTCATAAACTTGGTGCTCTCAGGACTCCTCTCTACTCCCCTGAAATGGTAATGAGTACCCAAACAGTTGGATTTTTTTTTAACATGAATTATACCAGATGAGAAATGCTGAGAAAACTGTAAAGTATTTATTTATTCACTAAGAAGTAGCAATAAACTCATTACAGGTTAACATAAGTCACACAGCTTTGCAAAAAAAACACTTTACTTTGTAAGATAAAAGTGCAGTGAGAAGGGTGGCAATGACAAGCATTTCTGCCAGTCTGTTTACAATCTGGCTTAACGGAAGACAGTTGCACTCCTCTAAGTGCTGCTGCATTTAATCTCTGTTGAACTACACTTAAAAAGTGTGCTTTACAGAAACAGAATGCTGTAATATAGAATGCTAGAAAATGCTGTCATCTAATAGTCTTTTCAGAAAACTGTACATATTCTTCAATTCTATATCAAACTTTAACAAGTACTTTTTTCTTAACCTGTTACTTTAAATAGATTCTCATCCATGAATGATTTTTGCATCAATCATATGGAAAATAATGGTTGACTGAGTTATATAGATTTTTCAAATGTTGACACATTAATTACAAATATTTTAAAAATCATAATTGGTAACAATCTTCACAAAAGTCTAACTACAGGAAAGCTAAAGGAACTATAGAAAGTTTAAGTTTTCCAAAATTTGAAATTTTCATGTAAAAGCTCGATTTTACCACTGACAATGAATATTGTCAACACTCTGTTCATTCCCAAGAAAATAACTGACAAAAACCCAAGTCTGAATGACCCTAATCAGTTCTTTCAGATAAAAATCATATAGTACATATTAAACCCAGCTGGGTCAGAATGGGCAGTTAGAACCAAGTGCTCATCAGCCTTGGTCTGCAGCACAAATGTTTAGACACACTCTTGTATCACAACAGATACTGAAAAGGTGTTCACTCCTGCATCAAGACTCTTGAGCAAAACTAAGGCTTTCTGAGAAACTGCACTTGATAACGAAAAATATGTGACAACTAGGTATCACCTGCCACTACCTGACTGCTAAAGCACAGGCACCTAGCTCAGTCACTGCCTCTGCACCATCAGTGCAGATGCTGACACAGTGCAAAGTCAGAAGCAGCTTTGGCACTGTTACAGACGCAGCCTGGACCGCAGGGATCCAAAGAGGGTCTCAAGGGAACCAGAGAAATTGTAACTTGTAAATTCACAAACTCTTAGAATTTCAAGGTGCCTGGTGTGCTACTTTTACAAAGCTGAAATGCATCAAGAAACCTCACCAAGGTTAGGCGTCCCAAGGTACTTTTTCTTAATGATGACCATTAATAGACTCTATGACTCTAAATGAAAAACTTTTAAACAAAGAAACTGAAGAGCCAGATGACACGGCATACTTCAGCAACAAGGTGATCAGGCTAACTGTGGCTGCCAGACTTCAAGATCTTCCCGAATGATCTCTGCTTCCCATTCTCAAGCTCTACCCAGCTGGCCAGATCTGTGTGACCAGCAGCAAGTGGCCAAAGTGGTGACATGTCAGAGGAATGATCGCAGCTCTAGCAGACAGCTTGACTAGAACCTGAGAAACCCAGAGAGGGAACCACTCCGCTATTCAAGACAGATTCCTGATACCTGGACACTGAGCAATAATATTTACTGTTTCAAGTTGCCAGATTTTGCAGAGTTCAGCAAGAGATCTGGTTCCTGGTGGAAAAGTGGGAGGGAGTCAGAATATAACTGACTATTCCAAGGGAGTATAGATTTTGCAAACAGATTGTTGTAATGAAACCCCTTAAGAAAAGCCCCTGGGTTCTGAAGGAGCTGCACTCCAAACCAGCTACTTAGTGGCACTGACAGTGGTACCATTTCTTTTCACTCAGAAGGTCCCAGCTGTACCCAAAACAGAGGCTTCTCCTGTCCTGATTTCTCTCTGATATTAGATGCTCAACACAAACATACCTACTGGACTAAAACACATGTGTTTGGAGTCACTGCTCCTTAGAACTGAGTAGTATCTAATAAGTGTTCTTTGCAAGACAGTAAGTAGCTCCTGGCCAAGAGCCTTCACTGGACAGGGCATCTGCTCCTGAGGAGCCCAGCCTGCCACCAGCGGCCTTTCTCCCCCCACCTCACATGCTCCTCTGCAGTCCTAGAGGTCCAGATAAGGTTCTTCCTGCTCCGCCATTCCCCACCAACCAGCAATGCTCAGCTGTTCTCCAACCCTCTTGGCAGCTGCTTCCACGGCCCTGGCCCTGGCTGCCATGGTTGCATCTGTAGTTTTATCTTGTTTATTTTTCTTTGTTCCTACTTATATAATTTTAAATGAAAACAAATTCCACTACTTGAAGCCACCAGAGCCAAGGCACAGGAAAACACACATATATTTTTTTTCTTGGCATCAAGAATACCGCCTGTGCTTGCTTTCTGCCATTCCTGGGTTTCTAGCTGATGTACTGGCCCATCACGCAGCACTCCTGATGCTAATCTAAATGTTCTAAGCCCCTTTCTGTATAGACAACTGCATGAAACAGTAATGTCAGTCCCCAAAGCCTCAGCTGTTCTTACCTGATGACAAACAAGGGTGACCAATCCATAGGGCCTTTGGCAATTGTCCCAAATGGTGCAATAATGTCCAAAATGCCAGTCTTTAATGCCTGTGTACTTCAACCCTTCCTGCCAAGGTCACAGGGAAAAACCACATCACACAAGTCAAGCACCTGCTATCAGTGATTCTTCCTGGACCTGGCCAGGAACAGTTGTGTGCACACACTGGCTCCCTCCCTTGTCCCTCTGCCCATCACAGACAAGATGAAGCATCAGATCCTCAAAGACCCTTCGGATTTGTTTGAGAAAAAAAAAAAAAGAAAGAAAAGAAAAACAGCCTTACGGCTTCCTTGACCAGTTTTCTGCTGGACTCAATCACTGCTTCTGTCAACGTGAACTCTGTCTTAATCATCTCCAGGACGTTGATAGCGGATTCCAGGGGCGTGAGCTCGGCCTCCATATCAAAGGAGCAGTCTAGGACAAAGCGCAGTTTTCAGTTTTCAGCTGTTCTCTGAGGAGTGGAAACCTTATGTCCACCACCGCGATGAGGGTCAATGGAGGGAAAGGGGGCATGCAAACAGCAGGGGCCGCTTGGCACTTGCTGACACCCTTGCTGTCCCACAAGGGGGTGCAAACGCAAGCCAAGGAATTTAAAGCATCTTCTTTCGGTTTTTTCCTCCAAGACGAGGGGTGGGAGTATTTTCAACACATGCATGTACCTCTCAAACTCAGGCTATAGAACACAGCCTCCTCGGACACAAGTGGCCAGAAACTTTTCGATGCCCTTGTTAATAACAACTAAGTCGCTTCAGGCAGCAAGCAACTAACAGGACAGCCGAGGTGGCAGGACCACCGCGATGGAAGCAAGCCGCGCACTTTAACCCGGAACCCCGCAGCACCGGATGTTCAGTTTGAAAACAACAAAACCCGACGCGGACAGGCACGCACACGTACACACACAGAAATCCAACCATACCTAAATTCTCCCCTTCTTCGATGCGCGACAGGCACTGCATGACGCGCAGCAGCCGGGACACCGTGTGCTCCTTCCCCAAGGGCCTGACGAGCAGAGCTGCGAAGGAAGACCCCGTTGTCTCGGCGGGCCCCGCGCCGACCCCCGGCCCCGCGACCCCCGCCCGGCCCCGGCCGGCCCTCACCCTGCATAATGTCCCGGATCTGCCTGAAGTCCTCGTACCGGCTCCCCCGGAAGGCCCGCAGCGCCTCGTGGAAGTAGAACTTGAGCACCCAGCGGTTGACCGCCTCTTCCAGCCGCGCCTCCCCCGCACCCCGCTCCGCGGCGCCCCCCAGCCCCGACTCGTGGCGCCCCCGCCGCGCCCGCCCGCCGCTGCGGGAGGCCCGCCGGCCCGCCCGCCCGCCTTCGCCGCCGCTCCCGCCTCCTCCCGCCATCGCGTCCGATCGCCGCGCGCCCTCCCCGCCCCCTCGCCTGGGCCGCTGCCCCGGCTGTGACGCCGCCGGGTCACGCACGACGCCCGGGCCGGAAGCAGCGCCCGCCGCCCCGGCTCCCGCAGCCACGACGCGGCCGACGTCCTGGGCCGCCCGCGGGCTTCTGGGAGGGAAAGGACCGGAGGGCCCGGCCCCCGGCTCGGCCGCCGTAGTTCCCGCTGGGCCGGCCGCGCTGCCTGCTGGGACCTGAGGCTCGGGCCGGTCGGGCTTGCGGTGTGAGCGCCCGCGGGCGACCCCGGGGAGGGCGGGTTAGCCTCACACGTTAGCAGCTGCGCTCCCAGGCAAGAACTTACGCGGAGGGAATTAAAATATATGTGTGTGTATAAGATATGTTTCATATATACATATGATTTGTATCTATAGCTCATATAAACATATGTGTGTATATTTCATGTATACGTGTATAATTCATATAAACATGTATTCATATAACGTGTGTGTATATATATATTTCAAAGGAAGCGGTTCTTCACTCCCAATGCGGGCATCAGCCCTGCGCCTCATCCTCCCACCAGCGTGCAGGTGCCTAAAGCGCTCGGCCATCCTCTGACCCCTGCCAGGACAGGTGCGCCTCATCCTATTCACTGTGTCTTTTTCCAAGAATCCCAGGCTGGGGCCTGGCAGCTTTCTTCAGCTTGTGCTGAGCTGACAAAGGCTCACATGATTGAGCCTTTCTACACACTCTGAAAAGCTGGACCAGTCTCATGGCCGTCTGTAAAGTGAATTAGGGACCCTCTTTGGACAGCCTCTTATTTAATTCCCCCAGACACAGCAGCAGCTGGCTAGATCATCTGAGAACACGGGTTCCTGTCCTGACTTCTCTCTCTTTCTGCTGCTCTAGACAGGCCTGGCAAGGACTAAGAGATCAGGGTCCCTCTTCTTTGTCTAGGTACTTGTTCTGGTCCAGGCCTCAGTTCCAGACCATTAGGAAGTGGGTTCCCCCACCTGCTGGACATACCTGTGAGCCTTGCTCCTTCAGCTCCTTTGCATTCTACCGTGGGTATGCCTCTTGACCTTGGCAGCCCCATTCCCCACTCCTTCCCAGGTGCTCTGTGTTCCTGACAGCAGGCAGAGGAGTGAGTGGCCCTGGGTTTGGGTGAAATAAGCAAGTGGGGGTACAGGGAGGAATGTAGATGTGAGTCACTAGATTTCACCACCCTATAAAGAAACACAAGAGAGGGCCCAGCATGGTAGGGTAGTGGCTAAAGGTCCTCTCCTTGAATGCGCCAGGATCCCATGTGGACGCCAGTTCTAATCCCAGAGGGCCTGCTTCCCATCCAGCTCCCTGCTTCTGGTCTGGGAAAGCAGTCAAAGATGGCCCAAAGCCTTAGGACCCTGCTCCCACGTGGAAGACCTGAAAGAGGCACCTGGCTCCTGGCTTCAGATTGGTTCAGCTCCAGCCATTGTGGCACTTGGGGAGTGAACCATTGGACGGAAAAGCTTCCTCTCTGTCTCTCCTCCTCTCTGTATATCTGCCTTTCCAATTTAAAAAAAAGTAAATAAATCTTAACAACAAAAACAAAAGAAAGAGACTCGGGATGGGACGGTGGCTGGATGTGCCTCCTGGATGCGTTGAGCAGGTGGCATTTCAATGCTTGTGCTTCCTCCTCTGTCCAGACAAGCAATAGAGGTAACTTACAGGCCTTGGTTTTTGAAAGGGCTCACTATGTGTCAGATGATTTTATGAGCTCATTCAGTGTCTGCCTAAACAGCCTTTCACACGTCTCTATTCACAAATCTCATTGTTTTAAAATTAAGGCACAATTTACAAAAGTGTACAAGTGTTTCTACTTAGTTTTCTAAATCCCATCACCCACATGGCTGTCCCAGCGTCACTGTCTTTATCACCTACTGCAACTGTCTAGCCAAGAACTTGAGTTCTTCATGCTGTTCTTATGAGCTCCAGCAGGAGGCAGCATTGCGCAAGAGAAAGGCTATAGTCCGTGGACTAAGGACAGGCTTGTGGTGACTTGCTTATGAACATTTTTCACTGATTCAAGAGCCTACTTGAAGGCTACACACACAAGCAAAGGGCAGACTAGTAGTGAAATTGAAATTATGCCTGACACATATCAATCAAAATAGTGAGGTTTTATTATTTAAAGATTTATTTTTATTTTTTTTTATTGGAAAGGCGGATATACAGAGAGGAGAGACAGAGAGGAAGATCTTCCGTCTGATGATTCACTCCCCAAGTGAGTGATCCCGGGCGTGCAAGGCGAGGACCTTTAACCACTTGCGCCACCGCGCCAGGCCCAATAGTGAGGTTTTAAAACTTAATACGTGGGGCCCAGCACAGTGGCCTTAGCACCTAAAGCCCTTGTCTTAAACACACCCAGGATCCCATATGGATGCCGGTTCTAATCCCGGTGGCCCTGCTTCCCATCCAGCTCCCTGCTTGTGGCCTGGGAAAGCGGTCGAGGACGGCCCAAAGCCTTAGGACCCTGCACCCACGTGGGAGACCTGGAAGAATGTCTTGGCTCTTGGCTTCAGATTTGCTCAGTTCTGGCCTTTGTAGCCATTTGGGGAGTGAACAAGTTGTTGAAGATCTCTCTCTCTCTCTTCCTCTCCTCTCTGAACTCTTTCTGAGAAGATCTCATACTGAAATTATTAAATGTGTATAATGCCTTGGGGGAAAAAAATCATTCCTTCATTAGGCTTTCTACACTGATCACTTATGTGTATCAACTACTTGGAGATGACATGAGAAGAACAAACTGAATACAAAACATCTGAAAGTCAGGTATCTCTTGATTTTTTTCTTCTGTTTAAATCCAGTTGTTAAACATTTGAAAGGCAAAAAATATAAAGTAAATCACATTTGTATCCAGGAATTTTATTCTGTGGTGGCAAATATGTCCTTCCATTTAACGATACATATATAACCCCAAGATTATCTGATGTTCAGTAAATATGATGAAAAAAGAGAAAAAGAAACACACAGTGTGGTTACAAATTAATGGAAATAAGAGTCATATAAAATATATTTTTGAGTATTTACTGTTTATCACCTACTGCCCTAGAATGCTTTACATCCTCTGTTTCATTTAGTCAGCAGCAAAATCTCCCCTCCCCTCCAAAAAAAATGTATCACTGTGTCAGTTTTGCAGATAGAGGCTTGCCCAAGTTTGATGTTGTAACAAATACATGTCTATATCAGATTTAAAATCCAGATCTGTTTGACATTAACCAAGGTGAGATGACAAGAGATTAGGTTCATTCTGTCTCTTCTTGAATTCCCTACAAAAATAAACGTTAGGTTCTTCATGTGTCTGGATGCTTTTGCATAACCATGTTTTTGAGATTCATCCATATTGTCTATTATAGCTGAGCGATGTTTCATATAATGAAACCCACTGTTTGTTTATCCTGTTACATCTTGATAGACATTTGAGTTGTTGCCAGTTTGGAACAGTTAGCTGATACAAGAAAGAGATCCTATGACATGATTAAAAAAAAAAGATTGATTTATTTTTATTGAAAAGGCAGATATACAGAGAGAGGGAGCTACAGAGAGAAAGATCTTCTGTCCGCTGATTCACTTCCTAAATGACTGTAATGGATAGAGTTGAGCCAATCCGAAGCCAGGAGCCAGGAGCTTCTTCTGGGTCTCCCATGCAGGTGCAGGGTCCCAAGGTTTTAGACCATCCTCTACTGCAAGCAGGGAGCTGGAAGGGAAGTAGAGTAGCCAGGATACAAACTGGTGCACATGTGGGATTCTGGAGCATTCAAGGAAAGGAACTTAACCACTAGGCCACTGTGCTGGGCCCAAATAAATCTCTTTAAAAATATATACTCTAAAAACAAAAAGAAAGGAAAAAAAGGGCCCGGCGCAATAATATATTTGGTTGAAGTCTTAGCCTTGCACGCACTGGGATTCCATATGGTCATGGTTCTAATCCCGGTGGCCCTGCTTCCCATCCAGCTCCCTGCTTGTGGCCTGGGAAAGCAGTCAAGGACGGCCCAAAGCCTTGAGACCCTGCACCATTATGGGAGACCTGGAAGAGCTCCTGGCTTCAGATTTGCTCAATTCCAGCCATTGCGGTCACTTGGGAAGTGAACCATCAGACGGAAGATCTTCCTTTCTGTCTCTCATCCTCTCTGTAAATCTGTCTTTCCAATAAAAATAAATAAATCTTTGAAAAAACTCCTTAAAAAATAAATAGCCAAGCAAGGAAACAGGCTGTCGGGGCTGACTTTTTGCTGCAGCAGGCTAAACTGCCACTTGCAACCCCAGCGTTGTGTAACAGGGTGCTGGTTTGAGTCCAGCTGCTCCTCTCCCTAAAGGGGACCAGGTGAGAATTCCTGGTTCATGGTTTCAGACTGACCCAGCTATTGTGGTTACGTAGAGTGTGAACCAGCAGACAGGGGACTATCTTTCCCTCTTTTGGTTACTCTGGATTTCAAATGAAATAAATAAATCTTTAAAAAAATATATTTATTTATTTTTATTACAGAGTCAGATATATAGAGAGGAGGAGAGATAGAGAGGAAGATCTTCCATCCAATGATTCATTCCCCAAGTGAGCCCTACAGCCAGTGCTGTGCCGATACAAAGCCAGGAGCCAGAAACTTCCTCCAGGTCTCCCACATGGGCGCAGGATCCCAAAGCTTTGGGCTGTCCTCGACTGCTTTCCCAGGCCACAAGCAGGGAGCTGGAAGGGAAGTGGAGCTGCAGGGATTAGAACTGGAGAGGACTTTAGCCGCTAAGCCATGCCGCCGCGCCCTGAAATAAATAAATCTTGATTCACCTTAAATCTAATACATCTTTAAAAAAAAGAAAAAAGCCCACAATAAGTAGAGGCAGGTGTTTGGTGCAGCAGTTGGAACTCCGCCTGGGATGTGTGTATCCCATATCGAAGTGCCTGGGTTGTGGTCTTAGCTCTGCTTCCCATTCTAGCTTTCTGCTGAAGCATGCGCTGGTAGCTGCAGGTGAGGGTCATTCCCCTTCCTGGGGAGGGAATAGGTGACTGCTGCCTGCTTGGTGGACCTGCACCACGTGCCTGGCTTCTGGCTTCAGCCCAGTGCAGTCCTAGCTGCTGTTGGGATTTGGAAGAGGGAGATCTCTGTGTCTTCCTATCTCTGCCTTTCAAATAGGTAAGTAATGTTTTTTTAAAAGTTGGATGAAATCTTTTGAGTGTCAGCTTTAAAATGTGCAAGGAGATAATGTGTTTTTAAGATGGTATTACCTTTTCCTTAACATGAAATACTCCTTACAAATCCTTTTCCAAGGCAGCTAGAGCATTTAACACGACTGCCTTATACTTACAATTTTATATTACAGTCAGGTAAACATATAATTGTAATTGTTGCTGTTAGTGGGCTGATTTAAGAAAATCATTCCTATTCAGAACTCAAGAAGATATTTTGTGTGATACATTCTAAAGATTCATTTTTGTTTGTTTTTTGCCTTTTATTTTTTTTCCAACCCAGATTTCATGTTTGCAAAGGTTATGGATTAGGGTCCAGTTTTATAGCATATTTAGCTGTCCTGGCTCCATTCATTGAAAAAAATGTCCTTCTCCTACTTGTATATACATGATGTGGCCATGGAGGTGGGGACCTGTTTCTCAGGATATACAAGTTTTCAACCTTGTATAGCAACAGAGTGTGTAAGCAGAAGACGCCAGAGGCTGCCCTGCTAAGGACCTCTGTGGCCTTCATGTAGTGATTGAGCTTTGTCTTGGAGCACCCTGTCCCGTTGAGAGAGTGCCAGAATCGGGCTGCAGTGGGATGCCTAGCAGGCCTCATCAGCATCTGCCCCTTCCAAGTGCCGGAGGATGGGTAAGGAACACTCACCAGAGACAGGCACACACATAGCCTCTGGAGAACAGTCCAGAGGACACAACGCGTTGGTAGGTCACAAGTGCTGGTGAAATCTGTACACTTCTTTCCCTAAAGGTTTTTGTTTGTTTGTTTGGGGTTATTTTTGCTGTCCCTGGCACATTTCCTCTGTAAACTTCACCCCTATTGTATGTCTGTGTCTTTGGAAGGGCCCAGAGGAAATGACTGTGTCTTGGAGTGCTGT